TCTACGAGCTCTTATCTCAGTTCTACAAACTTTACAATATGCCTTATTTCCATCTTCTTTCACTTCAGCCAACCACTTTTCAAACACGGGATCCTTAAGCCAGGACATGTGAAACGCTTTCTGGTATTTAGACTACTTCCCCATTTTTCACTTCTTTATTTTAACACTTAAGCAAATTCTAAAAGTAACAGCGGTGCTGTTATTGCGGTAACTTCTTTTCTATATGCGGTAACTTGTGTCGAACTATCCTTCTGGAGGTCAGAGCCACACTAACAATGCAAGCACAGATGAAGCTGCCAAGTTCACTGTATGCTAATCCGCTCTAACGACAGTCATTTGATTCTTGGAAACACCTAAAGAGAAACCTAATACTTACAGTAGGCAACAGTGGGAGGTCACTTAACATAGACAGTACCCGTGATGAAGTATTAATGGCAAATTAAGGTTGGGAAATCTATGGCCCCTGGGGAGGACTATCTTGCCTTGTGGTTACTTTTTCTTTGGGAAGTTCCTAGGATCAACGTCCCCAGGGGGTCGGTCTCTGACCTGGCCTCCTGCGGTAAGTGGTCTATTCAATCAAGCTGTTGGACGCGGCTGTGATTTCTACACATGACATTATAAAAAGCATAAAAATCATCATTGAGTTTCTTAACATCAATAGCCCAACTTGTTTTTAAAGTAGCCCAAAAAGTCGCAAGTAGCGAAATTAAAAATTTGGGAGCGCGGGGCTCTGAAAAGTAGCCCAATTCGCTACTTGTAGCCCAATCTGGCATCCCTGGATGTAAACACCATCCTCAGGCTTCACACACAGTGACCAACTCTACCAGATCAACACACCAACACCTCACACACAACCGACATAAATTCTCCCAACACAACAAGATGGATGGAATGGCCTCCAGGTAAAGAGGGTAGCAGTATATTGCTGAGATTTTTTTTTAGCTTAGTTCATTTAGTCTGTACCCCCAACCCGTTCCGACCCCATACCCATCCTGTTGGCAGTAGTGGGAAGGGTTACGGAGGAATATTCCTATCACTGTTAATTATTAAAAAAGGTAAATAATTGTCAATTATGACCAAAAACATATCTAAAAGTATGTAAATATAATAACTTGCTCTTAATATAGACTGTAACATCTCTCATAGAGTGGTGTAGTAACACTTTGCTGTGTAGACCTAATTTTGCTAATACCAAAAAAAAATGACTATGTTTATTAATCTCAGTGGCTCAACAATTGTGATATAAAAAAAACTCAATGATGCATTGATAACATGCGCGTTATTCGATTAGCTAAATTCAATGATAAATCATAAAACACTTTTGAAAAAGCATAAAGGCTATACTAATAAACCATATTTAAGTCAAACAATATAATCTCCATCTGCAATTTTCATTTTCTTTTATAGATGTAAGCGTCGGAGAGATGTTGCTGGTCGACTACTCTAAACTCGAACATAAACTGATTAAACATATTTTAGATATACTTATATTTCTTATTTGTTGAATTTAAGAGCCAAAAGTTCTGAATTTATTTTATACTGATACCAAGTATTTTAACTTTAAATTATTTTATACAAACTAGGTTTTTTGCTTTGATTTACACACAGAAATCACAATAACGTGATGTATCAATGAACAAATCCACAAGGGCCGTGACGAGGATTCGAACCTGCGTCCGAGATCATCCCTGTTGCTGCCTTAATCGACTGAGCTACGACATGGTCAAAAGAAACCAGACGTTCTACTGCCCTTACTTGGATCCTGCAGCCTTTCTGAGACACAAACCAGGGTTTTACACAACTCCCCCATGCAGGTTTATGTCTCGGAGAGGCTGCAGGATCCAAGGGCAGTAGAACTACTGGTTTCAACTCTTTTGACCATGTCGTAGCTCAGTCGATTAAGGCAGCGTTGATATAGTTGATCATAATTCGCTCTACGATTAACAGAACTTTAATATAAAACTTATATACTATTAATACAAATTACAAAATTATAAAATGCAGTAATAAATTTTATTAAAACGTTATGTGGAATTAGTAAACAAAAGAATAACATTCTTTTAATTTTCAAAGTATTTACATAAAATTCTGACTTCCTTTTATATTTAAAATATTTTTCTAGGAGGCAACTAACCCGAGCACTACTATTTGGTTATTTGAGTGTAATGAAATGAACTTTCTGCATTTTTGACGGATGTTACATCCATAATTTTTCCATCCTTGTCTACATAGTATTAGTACTAAAGATATCCTTATAAACTAATGTCTAGCATTCTTTCCTTCTCATATCAAGGTTCACTTCTCTTGGAAAATGATTAAGACACCATGATTATGTCTCTGCAATTAAGAATAATTCTAAAATATTCGTATTCCATTGCTAATTATAATCTGAAATTCTGTCACTATATCCATTGTAAATTATTCAGAAGATAAAAATTTATCTAAGTTTCAGCTGTGGAGCCGAAAATTATAAACACCAATTTTTCATTTATTCTTCAATATCTAATATTGAAAAATATGTTAAATATTACCAAAATGATTTACTAACATGTGGTCGGTCTCGAGCCCATTGATGATGTGACGATGTGCATTGAATTTCGTAACTAGCTCATCAAGATTGTAACATGCTTAGCTAAATGAGTTGTGGGGTTCAGTCCCTGAGCCCATTATGTGCCTCTGTAACCCTTTCCACTACCGTTCACAGGATGAGTACAGAGTGCACAATAAACTACCACTCTCAGGATGAGTACAGAGTGCACAATAAACTACCACTCACAGGATGAGTATGAGGTGCACAATAAACTACCACTCACAGGATGAGTACAGAGTGCACAATAAACTACCACTCACAGGATGAGTATGAGGTGCACAATAAACTACCACTCTCAGGATGAGTACAGAGTGCACAATAAACTACCACTCACAGGATGAGTACAGAGTGCACAATAAACTACCACTCTCAGGATGAGTACAGAGTGCACAATAAACTACCACTCACAGGATGAGTACAGAGTGCACAATTAACCACCACTCACAGGATGAGTACAGAGTGCACAATTAACCACCACTCTCAGGATGAGTACAGAGTGCACAATAAACTACCACTCACAGGATGAGTACAGAGTGCACAATAAACTACCACTTACGGGATGAGTACAGAGTGCACAATAAACTACCACTCACAGGATGAGTACAGAGTGCACAATAAACTACCACTCAGGATGAGTACTGGGTGCACAATAAACTACCGCTCACAGGATGAGTACAGAGTGCACAATTAACCACCACTCTCAGGATGAGTACAGAGTGCACAATAAACTACCACTCACAGGATGAGTACAGAGTGCACAATAAACTACCACTTACGGGATGAGTACAGAGTGCACAATAAACTACCACTCACAGGATGAGTACAGAGTGCACAATAAACCACCACTCACAGGATGAGTACAGAGTGCACAATAAACTACCACTCACAGGATGAGTACAGAGTGCACAATTAACCACCACTCACAGGATGAGTACAGAGTGCACAATAAACTACCACTCACAGGATGAGTACAGAGTGCACAATAAACCACCACTCACAGGATGAGTACAGAGTGCACAATAAACTACCACTCACAGGATGAGTACAGAGTGCACAATAAACTACCACTCACAGGATGAGTACAGAGTGCACAATAAACTACCACTCACAGGATGAGTACAGAGTGCACAATAAACCACCACTCACAGGATGAGTACAGAGTGCACAATAAACTACCACTCACAGGATGAGTACAGAGTGCACAATAAACCACCACTCACAGGATGAGTACAGAGTGCACAATAAACTACCACTCACAGGATGAGTACAGAGTGCACAATAAACTACCACTCACAGGATGAGTACAGAGTGCACAATAAACTACCACTCACAGGATGAGTACAGAGTGCACAATAAACTACCACTCACAGGATGAGTACAGAGTGCACAATAAACTACCACTCACAGGATGAGTACAGAGTGCACAATAAACTACCACTCACAGGATGAGTACAGAGTGCACAATAAACCACCACTCACAGGATGAGTACAGAGTGCACAATAAACTACCACTCACAGGATGAGTATGAGGTGCACAATTAACCACCACTCACAGGATGAGTATGAGGTCCAGGACGGACCAAAACATCATCGTTTCCTCATCCTGTGATGAGTGATTTGGTCGCCATCTTCACCCACGTTATAATGACTCAACATCTGCATGCTATGTCATGCTCTTCATAGTATAGATGTGTTGAATACTCGTGTGGCTATCATGACGATAGCAGAGGTTAGAATAGTTCTGATAACTTGGAGAGCGTGGTTATATTTTCGCCATGATAACTGGTTGCTACTTATGTATATATGATTTACATTGTATTAACTTAAATAAAGATAAAAACAAAAACAAAATAAAAAAATACTACTACTAGGCTATTTATCAATGGCCGTTATACCCATATAGCAATTATCTATATAGATAATTGTTATCTATCTTTATAATTATCTATATAATCTATGTATATAATTATCTATATAGATAATTATCTAGATAATTATTATCTAGATAGATAATCAACCACAATTGTACAAATTTGTGAAGGGAATTTGATTTTTTAATATTTTATTCACTATATACTGGGTATTTTTATTTGCAAATTTTGCTGATATTATTAAAGAAATCACAGGCTAAAAATAATATATTTTGCAAAGCCTAGTAGAATATGAGCGATTCTCGTCTACCCTCTTTAGTTAAGTTTAATAGTTAAAATATATATATATATAATGTTATTAATGTTTTGTTTACGGTGATAATAGGAATATGGATGTACTCAAACACCTGCCACATTCACTCAAACACCTGCCACATTCACTCAAACACCTGCCACATTCACTCAGACATCTGCCACATTCACTCAGACATCTGCCATATTCACTCAAATACCTGCCACATTCACTCAAATACCTGCCACATTCACTCAAACACCTGCCACATTCACTCACACATCTGCCACATTCACTCAAACACCTGCCATTTTAACTCAAAACGTTACATATAGAATGTATTACTACGTGCATCATCGTACATATATTGATGTAATGGACAATTAGAAAGCAGAATTGGTTACTATTAAACTTAAGAAAATCGGAAAAGGTTTTGTATTTACATTAGTAATAAAACCTAAACTAATCTATCACTCTGAGGCCTAATACACGCTATTCTGAGGCCCAATATGACACATATATCTTTTAAACACTCATATATTTCGTATGAGGATTATGTCGTCTTTATTATAGCATTATAAAATATATAAAGAAAAGTGCACTTTATAGCCTAATTTAATATTAATATTATTGGAACTGAGGAGACCAGTTTATGGTTCTTGATAGACGCATTATATATATCCTTCAGGTGTAAAAGATTCCTATACACGGTTATTAGCAGCTTATTTACTTCGAGTAATAAGGCAGTAAAACGACTAGAGTTATTTTAAGAAAATATTGTGCTTTGTTGATATTGTTTGCTTTTCAAAACATCATATTTTCTAAAAGCTAAAACTAGGTCACAACAATTTCAAACACAGTCAGTGTATCTCTTCGTCAGCTGGGGGACGGACGTCGAGCTCTCTCTCTCTCCTGGACACCTCCAGCATGCCCGGTGTTAGTGGGCAAGACAACATGTCCAGTGTTATTGGTCAAGACACCATGCCCAGTGTTAGTGGGCAAGACAACATGTCCAGTGTTATTGGTCAAGACAACATGCCCAGTGTTAGTGGGCAGGTCAACATACCCAGTGTTATTGGTCAAGACACCATACCCAGTGTTAGTGGGCAGGTCAACATACCCAGTGTTATTGGTCAAGACAACATGCCCAGTGTTAGTGGGCAAGACAACATGTCCAGTGTTATTGGTCAAGACAACATGCCCAGTGTTAGTGGGCAAGACAACATGCCCAGTGTTAGTGGGCAAGACAACATGCCCAGTGTTAGTGGGCAAGACAACATGCCCAGTGTTATTGGTCAAGACAACATGCCCAGTGTTAGTGGGCAAGACAACATGCCCAGTGTTATTGGACAAGTCAACATGCCCAGTGTTATTGGACAAGACAACATGCCCAGTGTTAGTGGTCAAGACAACATGCCCAGTGTTATTGGACAAGTCAACATGCCCAGTGTTATTGGACAAGACAACATGCCCAGTGTTATTGGACAAGACAACATGCCCAGTGTTATTGGACAAGACAACATGCCCAGTGTTATTGGACAAGACAACATGCCCAGTGTTATTGGACAAGACAACATGCCCAGTGTTTGTGGTCAAGACAACATGCCCAGTGTTATTGGACAAGACAACATGCCCAGGGTTATTGGTCAAGACAAAGACAACATGTCCAGTGTAATTCGTCAAGACAACATGCCCAGTGTTATTGGTCAAGACAACATGCCCAGTGTTAGCGGGCAAGACAACATGCCTAGTGTTACTGGTCAAGACAACATGCCCAGTGTTATTGGTCAAGACAACATGCCCAGTGTTATTGGACAAGACAACATGCCCAGTGTTTGTGGTCAAGACAACATGCCCAGTGTTATTGGACAAGACAACATGCCCAGTGTTATTGGACAAGACAACATGCCCAGGGTTATTGGTCAAGACAAAGACAACATGTCCAGTGTAATTGGTCAAGACAACATGCCCAGGGTTATTGGTCAAGACAACATGCGCAGTGTTAGTGGTCAAGACAACATACCCGGTGTTATTGGACAAGACAACATACCCAGTGTTATTGGTCAAGACAACATGCCCAGTGTTAGTGGACAAGTCAACATACCCAGTGTTATTGGACAAGACAACATGCCCAGTTTTAGTGAACAAGTCAACATACCCAGTGTTATTGGTCAGGTCAACATATCCAGTTTTAGTGGAGAAGTCAACATACCCAGTGTTATTGGTCAGGTCAACATATCCAGTTTTAGTGGAGAAGTCAACATACCCAGTGTTATTGGTCAGGTCAACATACCCAGTTTTAGTGAACAAGTCAACATACCCAGTGTTATTGGTCAGGTCAACATATCCAGTTTTAGTGGAGAAGTCAACATGCCCAGTGTTATTGGACAAGACAACATGCCCAGTTTTAGTGAACAAGACAACATTCCCAGTTTTAGTGGACAAGACAACATACCCAGTGTTATTGGAGAAGTCAACATAGCCAGTTTTAGTGGACAAGTTAACATACCCAGTTTTAGTGAACAAGACAACATGCCCAGCGTTATTGGACAAGACAACATACCCAGTGTTATTGGTCAAGACAACATGCCCAGTATTATTGGACAAGACAACATGCCCAGTTTTAGTGGACAAGACAACATACCCAGTGTTATTGGTCAGGTCAACATACCCAGTGTTATTGGACAGGTCAACATACCCAGTTTTATTGGACAAGTCAACATAGCCAGTTTTATTGGACAAGTCAACATACCCAGTGTTATTGGTCAAGACAACATGCCCAGTGTTATTGGGCAAGACAACATGCCCAGTTTTAGTGGACAAGACAACATGCCCAGTTTTAGTGGACAAGACAACATACCCAGTGTTATTGGACAGGTCAACATACCCAGTTTTATTGGACAAGTCAACATACCCAGTGTTATTGGACAAGTCAACATAGCCAGTTTTTGTGGACAAGTCAACATACCCAGTGTTATTGGTCAAGACAACATGCCCAGTGTTATTGGACAAGACAACATACCCAGTGTTAGTGGACAAGACAACATGCCCAGTGTTATTGGACAAGACAACATGCCCAGTTTTAGCGGAGAAGTCAACATACCCTGTGTTATTGGACAGGTCAACTTACCCAGTTTTATTGGACAAGTCAACATACCCAGTGTTATTGGTCAGGTCAACATATCCAGTGTTATTGGACAAGACAACATGCCCAGTGTTATTGGACAAGACAACATGCCCAGTTTTAGTGGAGAAGTCAACATACCCAGTGTTATTGGACAAGCCAACATGCCCAGTTTTAGTGGACAAGTCAACATACCCAGTGTTATTGGTCAAGACAACATGCCCAGTGTTATTGGACAAGACAACATGCCCAGTGTTATTGGACAAGACAACATGCCCAGTGTTATTGGACAAGGCAACATACCCAGTGTTATTGGTCAAGACAACATGCCAAGTGTTATTGGACAAGACAACATGCCCAGTGTTATTGGACAAGACAACATGCCCAGTGTTATTGGACAAGACAACATGCCCAGTGTTATTGGACAAGACAACATGCCCAGTGTTATTGGACAAGACAACATACCCAGTGTTATTGGACAAGGCAACATGCCGAGTGTTATTGGACAAGACAACATACCCAGTGTTAGTGGTCAAGACAACATGCCCAGTGTTATTGGACAAGGCAACATACCCAGTGTTATTGAACAAGACAACATGCCGAGTGTTATTGGACAAGACAACATACCCAGTGTTATTGGACAAGGCAACATACCCAGTGTTATTGAACAAGACAACATGCCGAGTGTTATTGGACAAGACAACATACCCAGTGTTAGTGGACAAGACAACATACCCAGTGTTAGTGGACAAGACAACATGCCCAGTGTTATTGGACAAGACAACGTGCCCAGTGTTATTGGAGAAGGCAACATACCCAGTGTTATTGAACAAGACAACATGCCCAGTGTTATTGGACAAGACAACATACTCAGTGTTAGTGGACAAGACAACATGCCCAGTGTTATTGGACAAGACAACGTGACCAGTGTTATTGGACAAGACAACATACCGTGTGTTAGTGGACAAGACAACGTGCCCAGTGTTATTGGACAAGACAACATACCCAGTGTTAGTGGACAAGACAACATACCCAGTGTTAAGGAACAGGTCAACGTACCCAGTGTTAGCGGACAAGCCCGCAAACCTCCCAGAGGACTGTTTCCTAGAGAGTTGTTTTATAACGAAAGATACGACGTCAGATTTGAATTTGACAAAGAACTCATTGACTGGGAGCGAAACACAAGTGGAAAAGTCAGCGAAGCCGTTGGTGGGTACCCTTTCAGCGGAGACCCTGATTGGTCCATTATCAGCGATGACGCTGATTGGTTTGCTATCAGGGAAGACACTGATTGGTTCACTATCAGGAAAGACACTGATTGGTCCACTATCAGCGAAGACGCTGATGGGTCCATTAACAGCGAAGACGCTGATTGGTTCGCTATCAGCGAAGACGCTGATGGATCCACTATCAGCGAAGACTCTGATTGGTCCACTATCAGCGAAGACGCTGATGTATCCATTATCAGCGAAGACTCTGATTGGTTCGCTATCAGCGAAGACGCTGATGGGTCTTCCGTAAGCGACGCTGGGACAAGTGTTAGCGTTGTTCGGTCCTCCGTCAGCGAAGATAGCGGGACCATTGTTAGCGAAGAAGCTGATTGCTGTACTGTCAGCGGAGATGAATGGTCCACCGTCAGTGAAGATGGTGGGTCCACTCATAGCAAAGAAGCTGATGGGTTCACTGTCAGCGAACATTATGAGTCAACTGTCAGCAGGCAAGCAAGCATACCCTCTCTCAGCGATCCATTTATCACCGAAGGAAACGACTATTTATATAACTTTGACATAGGACTCTTTGACACTGAACAAAATATAGACCTCCCTGACAGCGGTCAAGCCACCGGGCAAGCCCCCGCACCCTCGGTTAGTAAACCAGCCAGTCAACCCTCGGATAGTAAACCAACCACTAAACAGGACATTAAACCCTCCGCTCAACGATCCTTTAGTCGAAAAGCCAGGAGAGAGTACACAGATTACCCACGTAACTACGTAGGAAAGGACAGCTTTATAGAGTTCTTGAATAAATTCACCGTTAGAAAGACAGCATCAAAGATGAGGAAAAAGTATTATATTTGTCAAAAAGCTCTAAAGGAAGCCTACATAGCCTACTGTCTGATTCACGGTAAGTTAATTGGATGTCCTATCAACACCGGTCGTCACCTTAGCTACTGTGGCATTAAGGCCAATAGAAAGGTGGGCCCTGCTTCGTTCCAGATGAATTGCTATACTGGTATACAATGGCTTGATTGTGTAAAAGTTCATTCAAGAACATTAGATATACCGATTACTCTCGATCGAGAGACCGCCAGGAGGAATGTTCTCGGTGGAGGCACCAAAATTCGGTTACCTGTGCAGGGGAGTTGCAAAGCTTCTTCTAAAGGCGAACAGAAGTATTCGGAGTCACAGGGGCCGAGAGAACACACATCTGAAACCCATGCATCGAAACCCAAAATATCTGAAACATATGTTTATAGAGCACGGTCATCAAGAGAACAAATGCCTGAGGCATACACATTAGTAGTACAACTACCAAGAGCATATGTACATGAAGCACAGGTACCTGGAACATCCACATCGGAAGCACAGGTACCTGGAACATCCACATCGGGAGCACAGGTACCTGGAACATCCACATGGGGAGCACAGGTACCTGGAACATCAACATCGGGAGCACAGGTACCTGGAACATCCACATCGGGAGCACAGGTACCTGGAACATCCACATCGGGAGCACAGGTACCTGGAACATCCACATCGGGAGCACAGGTACCTGGAACATCCACATCGGAAGCACAGGTACCTGGAACATCCACATCGGAAGCACAGGTACCTGGAACATCCACATCGGGAGCACAGGTACATGGAACATCAACATCGGAAGCACAGGTACCTGGAACATCAACATCGGAAGCACAGGTACCTGGAACATCCACATCGGAAGCACAGGTACCTGGAACATCCACATCGGGAGCACAGGTACCTGGAACATCCACATCGGAAGCACAAGTACCTGGAACATCCACATCGGGAGCACAGGTACATGGAACATCAACATCGGAAGCACAGGTACCTGGAACATCAACATCGGAAGCACAGGTACCTGGAACATCAGCATCGGAAGCACAGGTACCTGGAACATCAGCATCGGAAGCACAGGTACCTGGAACAACAACATTGGAAGCACAGGTACCTGGAACAACAACATCGGGAGCACAGGTACCTGGAACATCCACATCGGAAGCACAGGTACCTGGAACATCAGCATCGGAAGCACAGGTACCTGGAACAACAACATCGGAAGCACAGGTACCTGGAACATCAACATCGGAAGCACAGGTACCTGGAACATCAGCATCGGAAGCACAGGTACCTGGAACATCCACATCGGAAGCGCAGGTACCTGGAACAACAACATCGGAAGCACAGGTACCTGGAACAACATCGGGAGCACAGGTACCTGGAACAACATCGGGAGCACAGGTACCTGAAACAACATCGGGAGCACAGGTACCTGAAACAACATCGGGAGCACAGGTACCCGGAACAACATCGGGAGCACAGGTACCTGAAACAACATCGGGAGCACAGGTACCTGAAACAACATCGGGAGCACAGGTACCCGGAACATCAACATCAGAAGCACAGGTACCTGGAACACCCACACCAGAAGCACAGGTACCTGGAACACCCACATCGGAAGCACAGGTACCTGGAACACCCACATCGGAAGCACAGGTACCTGGAACACCCACATCGGAAGCACAGGTACCTGGAACACCCACATCGGAAGCACAGGTACCTGGAACACCCACATCGGGAGTACAGCTACCTGGAACACTCACACAGGTACCTGTAACACAAATACCAGGAGTGTATGTATTTGGAGCACCCACATGTGAAAGTGAGCTTCCTGGAGCACGGCCCTCCTAGAACAGACAACATGGCCAGCGCCAACGGTAAATATTGGTATTTTACTATAGTCGATTTTAAGAACCCTTTTACAACATTTATTATATTTATTTGGTATAAGATAATAGTGTAGCCGTTATTTAGACTCGCAGTTTGGTACAATATTTTTGTTAGTCTTAACTAAAGAGTGATAGGCAAAAAAATTCTGACATGAAATTGATGTGAATGACTGTAGTTCTATGAGCCAAAGTCTGAGTAGAGTTCAACTTTGACTTCTATATCATGTGATGCTCAAACTTGGCATAATTTGGTTATCTAATACATAAACCAAATCGGCTAGCAAACTCAGCAACTACTAAGTTACTTGACATAACATGCTTGCATTACCTTTATCTTTATTTTAAAACGCTGATAAGAAGTCAGCATTGAGTATTCTTCTGTAGTCTAAAATGGAAACCTAGTATAAAAGATATACAATCTGCCAGTGTCTAACATGATTGTGGATGAAATCATAAGATATTTTTACCTTTCAAATATAACAGGTTTCAATTCCTAAATTCTCATATCTGTGACTTATTTTCTTTTCTTATTTGGTTTAAATTCGTTGTTAGCGTACTGTTGAGTTCAGATTTGTAAAGAACGAAATTTTAGGAATACAGTACATAAAACTAATATGGTATTCTATAGGCTTGGGTAGATAAGATTACAATAAAATTATTGAGAAACGAATTCACAATATTTAAAAATAGTAGTTACTCTGTAGATATGTTAAGGGAAGTAAATCTTTCATCCTAAAAGGAACTGAAGATATAATCTTTATATACAAAATACTGAAGGGAATACAAATAAATTGAATAAATATGAGTAAATACTCCTATCATGTTGTCAATGCGTAAAACGCACTTAATAAAGAGGGAAGTCTTGGAAGACCTCCATCTACTACTTAGGCCACTTTTAACAATGAATTTGAATGCCAATAAAATTAAAATAAAATGCAGCAGGTCTAACAAGGCTGGTTAGCTGGGCATAACACTAGACCTCACATTCACATAGTTAGTTAGGCAAGCACACACCGTGTATGTACTCACATTCACATAGGCAAGCGCACACCGTGTATGTACTCACATTCACATAGTCAGTTAGGCAAGCACACACCGTGTATGTACTCACATTCACATAGTTAGGCAAGCACACACCGTGTATGTACTCACATTCACATAGTTAGGCAAGCACACACCGTGTATGTACTCACATTCACATAGTTAGGCAAGCACACACCGTGTATGTACTCACATTCACATAGTTAGGCAAGCACACACCGTGTATGTACTCACATTCACATAGTTAGGCAAGCACACACCGTGTATGTACTCACATTCACATAGTTAGGCAAGCACACACCGTACTCACCTAGTTGTACTCACCTAGTTGTGTTTGCGGGGGGTTGAGCTCTGGCTCTTTGGTCCCGCCTCTCAACCGTCAATCAACAGGTGTACAGATTCCTGAGCCTATTGGGCTCTGTCATATCTACACTTGAAACTGTGTATGGAGTCAGCCTCCACCACATCACCCCCTAATGCATTCCATTTGTCAACCACTCTGACACTAAAAAAGTTCTTTCTAATATCTCTGTGGCTCATTTGGGCACTCAGTTTCCACCTGTGTCCCCTTGTGCGTGTTCCCCTTGTGTTAAATAGACTGTCTTTATCTACCCTATCAATTCCCTTCAGAATCTTGAATGTGGTGATCATGTCCCCCCCTAACTCTTCTGTCTTCCAGCGAAGTGAGGTTTAATTCCCGTAGTCTCTCCTCGTAGCTCATACCTCTCAGCTCGGGTACTAGTCTGGTGGCAAACCTTTGAACCTTTTCCAGTTTAGTCTTATCCTTCACTAGATATGGACTCCATGCTGGGGCTGCATACTCCAGGATTGGCCTGATATATGTGGTATACAAAGTTCTGAATGATTCTTTACACAAATTTCTGAATGCCGTTCGTATGTTGGCCAGCCTGGCATATGCCGCTGATGTTATCCGCTTGATATGTGCTGCAGGAGACAGGTCTGGCGTGATATCAACCCCCAAGTCTTTTTCCTTCTCTGACTCCTGAAGAATTTCCTCTCCCAGATGATACCTTGTATCTGGCCTCCTGCTCCCTACACCTATCTTCATTACATTACATTTGGTTGGGTTAAACTCTAACAACCATTTGTTCGACCATTCCTTCAGCTTGTCTAGGTCTTCTTGAAGCCTCAAACAGTCCTCTTCTGTTTTAATCCTTCTCATAATTTTAGCATCGTCCGCAAACATTGAGAGAAATGAATCGATACCCTCCGGGAGATCATTTACATATATCAGAAACAAGATAAGACCGAGTACAGAGCCCTGTGGGACTCCACTGGTGACTTCACGCCAATCGGAGGTCTCACCCCTCACCGCAACTCTCTGCTTCCTATTGCTTAGATACTCCCTTATCCACTGGAGCACCTTACCAGCTACACCTGCCTGTCTCTCCAGCTTGTATGTACCTGTACTATAATGCACCGTGTGTATAATAACTTGTAATAACGCTTGTAATAACTCCTCTTTCTAAATTTCAGCTCGAATCCTTAAGACACGCTTACCTGACCTCCCTTGATGCCAAAAGCACCTTTCTGTTGCTGCTGTAAGATCCTAAGAGGATATATTTAACCGCTAGGACAAGATTTATCGGAAAACAAATATTTTTCTCAGTTCTTAAAATGTTGCCAGATAGATAAGTTACAAACCACATTTTGTAAACTAAGGTTTTGTGTATGCATTGACATCTATTTTGCTTTGTACATTAAAAATATATACTCAGTATATTCACACATTTAAGTTATGTTTCAGGTACATACACATTTAAATTACGTTTCTAAATATTTGAGCTCTTGTTAATCAAATGCTGTGAGGCTATAATGCCCATTTCTTAATTTTAGTTTGAAACCCATTTGAATGTACTCTACAATATCTGCCAGATAAGGGCACAGCTTATACACCAAGTTTACAAGGACAAAATTAACCTAGTAGGCAAATGCAATCAAATTTCCTTTCCCTGAGCGTATCACTTGATGGAATAACATTTGTATTTTATTCATTAAATTTACACTTATGTGCAGTATAATTAATTTGTCTTAATCCAGCCTTGCCAGATTTGTGGGGGGAACCGCTCTTACACTTACATGGGGGAACTGAAGAGGTGATTCGTAAGGCATTTTATAGCATTATTTGTTTGTATTAACAAACTTAGGTATACACAGCAATGTGCTGCTATGCTATTCTATATGAAAGATTACACAGCGTAGATAAAAAACTAGCTTTAAGTTCAACTAATATTCCCATCTCACAGGATGGTTAGTCATATACGGAATCAGGGGAGAAAATACCTGCCTCAATACAAAAGTAAATTAACTTTGACTAAATAATAACTATGATTTTCATAAGCGCAGAATCATGGAAATATAATTATTTTTACCAGTTTCTATAAGATTCTTCTCAAACAATGTATTTTTGTACTTAGCAAGCTTATTTACACACAGTAATGCACTGCTACCCTGTTTTGTATGAAAGACCAACTACAGTGTAGATAAAAAACCAGCTACAATCTCACCCAACATTCCCACCTCACAGGACGGCTAGTTATACATGGAATCAGGAAAGAACGTGAAATGTAAGGCTAGTCTATTAGCCTCCACTAGCAAAATCTGGGTACAGCACAAGCATATCTTCCAATATTCCTGAGTGTATGAAGTAACTACAGAGCTCAAAGTACCTCATACCATTAGGTCTGAAGTCACTGATAACGGCAATCGCAGATAAGTGTTGGATAGTATGTTCCAGCTCTTGTTCACATAGTTTACAGTTGGGATGTTCACCATTGGGGGGTTCATTACTTGCAACCACCTGCCATAGCTATCGATATCCCAGCCTAATTCTGTCAATTATAATGTCACATTGTCTAGTGGATGTTTTATGCTGCTTGTACATATAATTCTCGGTTTGCTTTGCCCGGCTATGTTCACTTAATGTCATGTCATCAGACATAATTCCCAAATCTTTTACATGTTTTCCTTCTATGAGTAGGTCTGATTGTGTCTTGTTTTCTGCATTTCGTTTATGTCCCTCGTTTCCACCATACCAAAGTATCTGGAACTTACCACTATTAAACATCGGGTCGTGTTGTTTTCCATTGCCCAATCGATGACCAAGCTCTCCAAAGTAATCTGGCCTCGGGCCGGGCTTGGGGAAGTAGAACTCCCAGAACCCCATCAAGCAGGCACACTCCCCCCCCTCCCATCAAGCAGGTACCTTGTGTAGCAGAGCTAATCTGCCGATTTAGGTGCTTCTGGAATCTCTCTGTATCCAAGTTTTTTCTCCACATTGCACCGAGTGCTCGCGCTGCTGGTGCTTTATATTTCTTTGTGAATATTGAATTCCAGGAATCAGGACCCCAAGGCAGAGTACATGGGCTTGTTCTCGATTTCTGTTTCGAAGTCTTCTATGCTCGTGGTAATATAAGTTATATTGTCTGGGGGGTTTGGCAATCATTCATAAAAAAGCTGACCGGGTCTTCAACTTTCACGTTGCGTATTGGGGTGCTAAATATGGCATCATATTGGTCTTTTAGGGTTTCACTAATTTCTTTGCCATCTTCTGTGCATGAACCTTCCACTGTAAGCATAGGTTTAATACCAGTAGGTTTTTATTTTGATTTCACATGTGAAACAATATTTGCGATTTTTATATATCTCTTTTTATAGCTTTCTCATCCAATTATAATTTCCTCAGACTGGTATGATCTTTCAGCGTCTACTTCATCTCTTCGATCTCCCGGTTTAGATTTTTTTTATTGCTATATTCCTTATGTGGGAGTTTTGTTACTCAAGACTTAGCTCTATTTTTTCCCAGTCAATATTCCTATTTTTTAAATTGAATTTATTAAATAACCTATTTTCGCTTGAGCCCTTTGGACCCGATATGAGTATTGAAATCAGTTGGAACTTCAATGAGCTTGTGGTTAAGTATTTAGTATCAGAGATTGTAATATCTGATTATCTCTTCATTGTTTGTGAAGATTAGGAAAAGTAAGTAATTATCAAAAGAAAGCACCAAGCCGGGAAGTTTAGGTAGTTATTTCGTTCCTAAATGGCTTTATCCGTTGGTTGAGCACAAATTTGTCACAGAATCCCAGTAGTTCTTTGACCTATGGTTGGTTATTTCCAGGTTGATTTTCCGCTAATGTTATTGTTTGCTGCTCTTCTCCATCTTAAACTGGGTACATCCTTGTCTCCAACCAAGATAATACTGGGTTTGTTAGGTTATCAAGGCTATTCTCTATTTTGTACAATTGCTGTGAATTCATCAACTGTTGCATCTGACGGCTTATGTATTAAAATAAATCTGATTTATTTTTCAACTTTAATTCTAAGTACCGCTACCATCTCATTGGTAAAATGTAAAAACTGTACACAAAGTTCCTTTATAATATACAGACTTGCTTCATCATTCCACCCATTTACTATTATCACACCTATATACATTATAATAATTTAGTTGCACGAATGCATATAATTTATTTGCATACATTTGTTTATGATGATACAGAGTTCACTATAGTCTTTCGTGTGAGTTTCTGTGAATGCTCCAAATATTGAAATCGACTATTAGGTTATTTATGAACTATTTCTAGATTGCCAGAACTTCAATTAAGTTGTGATCAAAGTAGTAGGCATTTGCAATCATTATGTTCCTGGTCAATTCATCATTATTAGTAATTAATAATAGATTTTGACTAGGATTTTTGTTTGGAAAAAGAAGAGATGTTTCGCGTTACTTGTGCTGGGTTTTGAGTCATCAGTCCTCTCCAACATGATCCAGGGTGGTGTTGAGGCGGTGGTTCACAAGTGCAACATTAATATAAAGCACAAGTAATCATGAAAAGAAGGCATCATGTCGGGGAGTATATATAGGTAAGGCCGGTAATCATTTAAGTGTTGGGCATTTGACCACCACTTGCAGAGTGCTGTGACGAGCGCAGTACTGGCCCTATATACACCAACGGGCAATTATTGAGAAATTATTTTTCTAAATAAAATGAACAGTTTAATTCTAGACATTGAATTCCTCAATTTGCTTTCCAATACTAAAATTATTTTCGGTGGTTTTGCAATTAGAAATACAAAATTGAAAGCCAAGAGTAATATAAATCTTTTCTTGCAGCTTGGCATTTATGCAGCACTAGAATACAGAAATTTTACTGTTGGGACATTTTAAACCTCTACAAAATGTATAAATGGCTTTTGCTCAATTCTTTATCGTTCACAAATAATAACCAATAAAGTTGTCCAAATATTCGTTCTTTCCGGCTTCTGGTTGTGCCACAGAAGGGGAGAATGTTTTAATATCCATCACAACAATCTATTCCCACCCATCAAAAAATAGAGCTTAACTGTAAAGAAATGCCCGACAGACCACTGGAACATTATCTAACATAGTGCACAGTTACAAACCCAATAAGATTTCAACTTAGATTCAACAAAGCAGTTGTTAAATACATGGGGCAAAATCTTACTGAAGCGACTGGTATGCTAGTCAAATACTCATACTCCGCCCAAGTAAAACAGAAACAAGCAACACTTAGTGGGCCAGCCAAAGGCTTAGGGCCCGCGCAGGCTTATCCCTGCCAAAAAAAAAAAAAAAAAAAAAAAGCTCATGCACAGATCTTCAATATTTTTCAACTCTTAGTACTAATACTGTTGAAATTAAGACACCATTATATTTTTAAGAACATTGTATACAGTATATTGTTCATGAACTTCAAAAAGATTACTAAAATGAATGTTTCATTTTTGTTTACCTTCCCTCAAACTCCCGCGGCACACGGGTTGAAAATTCCTGCTCTAGTAGATAATCTATAAATTACCTTTAAAACTATATTTCCGCAATAATTTATCTATATCAAATAAGACCTCAGTGTTTTATTTCTTAACTATAATAGCCTGGGTGACTACAAATTTATTAATTTTTTCCATTTACTATTAAAATGGCACTACTAAACTCCCCTTGGATATTACCAGGTTTCTGGCACATACAAAAATATTCATTAGATTCACCATAAACGTATTTAAAATTGTTACACCACATCATTAGAGGCCTGGCCGGGGACCGGGCCGTGGGAAAGTTGAGCCCCGAAAACGGTATCAACAACCTAGATCAGTGGTTCCCAACCTCGTCACCAAAGGACTCTACACCAAAACTGACTCCCCACTGTGTACTCATCCTACACACAATAGCAAGCTAGTTGCTGAATTACATTTATTAATGGATAACTTAAAAACTTCAATCATTGTTTTAGCGATTTATATTATTGGAGAATATAGCAATTTCAATTATTCAGTTGCACAAAAGCATACAGCCATGTGTGTGGTGAAAGTGAGCAGCCACTACACCAGATCATGCAGAAGAATCTAGATAATTTTAAATTCTTACTGTATATTTCAATAGACAAAAAATAATTCTACAATCCCAGTTAGTCAAAATACTTTACAGTACTGTGAATATTAATGTGCAATGTTTTTACACATACTGGTTTCTTAAGTGATCTGTTGGATGGAGGTGGTGAATAATACAATAAATCAATCCTTACATTTATTTAAACTTTGGACTGAACTGGAGGTTCATAATTATCAGGACGGTCCACCTTGGAACCAACATCCTCACCAGTGGTTGTGGCAGATTTTCCACTCTCGCCATGCATCTCCAGCAGCTTCCCTAGATCAAAACGTGGCTTCTTCAGGACCTTTACCTGGGGGAAGAAATGTAAATATCACTCACTAACTTCTCATTGTTGGAGTTGAGAACAACATTAGTAGGCTCACGACTCGTTACCTTGGAATAACGTACAACAAATGCGGAGACATTTACCAATCCACAAGTAATTATCAAAAGAAGGCAATGTAGCATAGGGACAATTGACCGCGAGGGACGGTCGGAAAGCAAGACACACTCGTCCTGGAAGTTGGGACATTCAACAAGAATGTGCACGACCGTAAGAGAAATAATGCAGTTTGGGCCAGGAGCTGCAGCAGATATTTTTACACTACCTCAATGCACAATGGAATAATATTAATGTGATGGCTCCTACTGATTTTGTCATAGATACATACATGAGGCCCCTACTGATTCCTCATTATTTCAATGTCATTGATATGTTAATTTACTTTTCTTGCAGTATTATTTAAGTGTGCCATTTGAGAAACTTATGTAAGAACATGTGTGGAACATCAGTGTGCTCAAATGTGTGTTGCTAATAAATTCTAAACATTCTAACAATAATAAAAAACTGATATTACATTGCGAGCACACACAACCACCTACATTTTAATGTATCATTTTGAACCACTGAACATTTCTGGAAGGTGTAATAAGCTCGTACCAATTACCAATGTTCATAACCCTTCATATTTTGCATGAAGTTGTAACGGCACACACACACTGAAAATATTATATTTTCTTGGTATTTTTAATGCCTTTACGAAGTTTTCAAGTGCATCGGGTTATCAATGTTTGATATATCACAGAATGAGTAGAACGTAAGTACACACACATTAGTAACACTAATAAGTGCACAATATTATACTCTTTTGAACATTAAGTTACTGCTTTGTTTTATCTTTATATATATTCTTCTATGACAATCATTATTAAATGATATTGCAGTGCTGTGAGCTGCTGCTGTGTACCACTCAGTACAGAGCTCCTCACACACAAGGAGTGCCCATTTTTTCTCAAGAAAATCTGTTTACTGGAGGCCTGAGGAAGAAGACAAGAGCCCTGTGCACTGATGGGATTTATAAAATTTACGTCGTACTTCCCAGATTGTCATATGCAGTTGAAGGGTTAAAATATCAAGAAACAAATGGTTTCTCTAGTAGCAGTGCTAAAGCAAACAAAGTAAATGAGCACTAACATGTTTATGAACTTTTCTTGTGGGTTTCTCAAAACTATTGGAGCTGCCATGTACAAATCCTACTTTGATTTCAAATACTGTCCCAAATAACCACCAGTACATGGGCATTCACTAGTTTTTTCTTCTTCAACAACTGGTATACCTCATAAATAACTAGTATCTTACATTTTATAAGTTACAGGACAACCTGGACTTTGGAATAATTTATCTGGAAATGTAAACATGAGGTCACTGGCAGTACGTACTCTATTTAATATCCAGGTTAAGTTCACACAAATCTGGGCCCAACTAAAACACAAGTCGGATCCTGTGGGAGTAATTCATTCACCAGGGTCCTAAAGATATAGTGAGATAGTTTCTTTATCAGGGGTAATTACTGTCACCCTGCATTACTTAACTGTCCCACCATTTCTCTGGAGGATGTCATTTGCTAGACCTCTAGCTATTAATACCCGCTTGATGGGATTCTGGGAGTTCTTCTCCCCAAGCCCGGCCCGAGACCAGGCTTGACTTGACCCGTGTATTTTTACCATATTAGGATAAAAAAATAATAATATCCAAGAATATATGGCCGACAGCCCACGTGTCTACAAAAGACGAAGAACAACTACAAATAAAAAAGGCATCATCTACTGGTATTTACACAGTATAAACAAACTATGGATAAGGGGTCCGTACCTTACGAATATGTACTTCCTTGAGGGGATAAATGAGGTTACAAGCTTTTCGGATATCATCAGCCATCGAGTCAGGGATAAGCTTGTTGACCACTTCCTTCAGTTCACTACTGTTCACAGCACGTGTGATGATGTCCACCATCTTCTTGCGGATGTTCTTAACTTGTGTGTGTTGGGCATAGGCAGTCTTCCTGGTTTGGCTTGTAACCTTTTCAGTAAAGCCAATGCAGAAAACACGAAGGATGTAGCCGTCGGTTGTCTTGACATCAGCATTAGCTTCAATGCAAGTCTATAAAAAAAATGAAGTCTCTTAGAGCAGTGAGGATTTAGGAATTTAAAAAAGGGGTAATATTAAAATACAATAAATGTATTCATTTGTAAACAACATCGACAAAAGGAATCAATCACTTGTCAAGCATGTCCCATCACCACCCACTTTCCCCCACAAGTGGCCACCACATCCTCTAACCTAGACCACTGACATCACTAACATTATTGTATATTGCCTTTCTTCAATGTCTTCTCTGCTCATTGTACCTATTTCACTAGATCTCAAACTAATTAAATGTTTTAATATAATTTCCCATGAGGATAAGGCAAGTTAATTATTAATAGATAGTATTAAGTCAGCATGACTGTAACACTGTCCTTTTATTCGTTTCAAGATAGGAAGAAGGTAAGGAATGGTGCTAAGCCATCTGGACTGGGGATCAAATGCCAACCTGCAATAGTCGAGGCCGTTGCTGTAAGAATCAAGTACAGGCATACCTCAGAATACGAGTTTAATCCGTTCCTGGAGACGCCTCGCCTTCCGAAAACTCGCATTCCGAAGTTAATTTCCCCATAAGAAATAAAGGGAAATGAATTAATCCGTTCCTGACTACCCCAAAAACCCCACATCAAACTAAATTTTTATACCTAATTTACCTAATTCATCTAAATAAACCTACAAAACTATGTTCCAGTTATTACTTACCTTGCTGTCGAGTGCTGTAGGCGTATGGAAGATGGTGAGGAGGGGGGAGGAGGAGAGGAGTTACTGTTTGGAAGGGGAGTCCCCTTCCATAATCACATCAGGCAGTGAGGACCTTTCTGGTGTGCTCTCCCTGGGACGTTTAACCTGAGTGCCACTAGGTCCTGGTTGAGGCTCACTGCTCGATTTCCTCACCACAAATCTGTCCATGGAAGCTTGCTTTTCCCTTCTTCGCAAGCTGTCTCTGTAGTAAGGCATCACATTGTCATTGAAAAGATTAAGACAACGGCCTACTACAGCTTTCTCTGGGTGAGTCTGTTCAATAGTTGTTTGAATCTCTTCCCACATCTGACACACCTTCTTAATTACTGCAGAAGGGACATTCGCTGGTGCTGTTGGTGCTGCTGCCACCTCCTCCTCCACTGCAGAATCATTCGCTGCTGTGTTGGCTTGCTGTTCCTGTTGAAGGGCTAGGAGTTCTTCAGTGGTCAGTTCTTCGTTGTGTTCTTCCACCAACTCCTCCACATCATCACCATCCAATTCCAAGCCCATTTGCTGGCCTAGACTAACAATTTCCTCAACAATAGGCGCATCATTTATAGGCTCAAACCCCTCAGTCTTCGTGCAACACCCTGGCTTTCTCACAAATAATGGCTTCCGAAACACAATCACCCCTCAACTCCTTGTCGTGTATCCAAATTAATAACAACTTTTCCACTTCTTCAAGTATTTGTGGTCTTTGTGCCGTTAATGTTCTTACTCCTTTTGCCACATTAGCACCCATAATCTTATTTTTCTTCTTAAGTATAGTGCATATTGTTGATATGGCTTTGTTGTACTGCCTACAAAGTTCAACAACACGTGTACCGTTCTCATGCTTCCGAATGATCTCTTGTTTCTCCTCTATTGTCATCCTCACATGAGCTTTCTGGCCTTTATCCTTACCACTGGCTTTCTTGGGACTCATGGTGAGATATATAATAACAAATTGTATAGACAAATCACCAAAAATCCAACAAAACACTGAAAATCCGCGAGAAGAATTGATGTGGGGGTAGTCACTGAGCGCGAGACAATGGTAAACTGAGGGCCAGCGGGGCAGAGGGGCGACGATCGCCGAACCACCACGCGCTAGGTCGGCCTGTACGCGTATCAACAAACTCGCGTCCCGAAGTAACCATCGCCTTCCGAGACAAATTTTTGGAGTAAATACGGCTCGCCTTCCGAAAACCTCGCATACAGGGACAATTGCATTCCGAGGTACCACTGTACAGTACTGTACTAGCAGTTGTTTATCATTTTGTCACCTATGCAGTTGAATGAATGTATAGGTGAAGATGAATGAATTCATCAAAGGATAAATTACAGCACCCCGGATAACTTTTAATTTTTAAATGTACTGTATACTATAGGGGTATTAGCCTGAACCTTATGTAGCCTAAACAACCCCTAAAACCCGTTTTGAACTACAGTACTACCAAAAATAATTATCTGAAATATTTTAAGTAAACTTAAGATTGTACTCTAAATGCCATCACTGGCACAGTTCTCTAGTCAAACCCACTTGTATATTTTAAATGTGCAAGGCATCCCCCTAAAATTCTCCTGGCACTAACATTTGTTATTACACATTACATTTGATTTCAAATGTAATAACACTTTTGCTGCCCAGGCACACAGCACACCCCAAGGCAGGCCATGCAGTGGCCGTCAGCTCGGCGTCACACTACAAAACACCCTTTAGCTTTCGTACCTCAATTTTTGTGCTACTTCATTCAATGTGGTATCAAATTGTTCGCAATACAATGTTCTAAAGGAGTATTTACAACTAGCACTTATACTTGGTGTCCTTCCTTTTACCAACTTGTAGAAGACAACACTTCCAGATCTACTGCATATGCTAGACCATTTGGGGCAAACCCAAGGAAAACTTACTTTGCTACATATGAAATCCAACCAACTAGGATTTTCATTAACACAGGATTAGACGACTCAATTCACCAAAAGGTGAACATTATTACCTGCCATTTCTTGACCATGGATCGTAGTTTATCAGTTGTCAAGTTGAATCCATGGAAATTGCAAAGAACATTCTTGCCCTGGACTTCTTCAGCAATAAGTCGGAACTTGCGGAAACTCCTCTCGGCATCTGCTTCATTTTGAAGATCAGCAAGGGAGACTTCAAACACACGACCTTTCAGGCCTTCAGAAGCAATCTCTGAAAAAAAAATTGATACAAATACATATAGGATTAGGCCATATTTATTCATATCCTTAACCATTCTACTGTGCATTAAACACACTTTGGCTTTGTTGCTGTGAACTTCCCTTTCACAGTATATACTCAAATGCTCTAATCTTTCTTACAAACGTGACCAAACATAAGCTTACCCTTCCAATTATCTTTCTTTCCCTTTCCTTTTCTTCTCTCTTTTCTGTTCATTGTTTTCTCTTACGTTCCCTTACTATCCTCTTCTTATTCCTAATACTATCTCCTCATTCGGTAGTTATAATAGGAGCTGCCTTGTATGGGCCAATAGGCCCTCTGCAGTTCTTATTCCTACTATCCCCCTCTACTACACCTTACTTTGTTCCTCGCCTCTCTCTTGCCTATTTATTGCCTGCATCTACTTCCTCATCACAATCGACTTGAGAATGGTCCAGGACAGACCGAAACGTCGTCGTCCCTTCACTTTCTAGTGTGTGGTGTGGTCAACACACTTTGGCATCGTGAAGACATTCGCATAATAAATAAAAATACATGCAGTTCGAGGCATGATGTCAATGCCATCAACAATAAATTTGTGCTCATTCTTATTAGTATAAACTTTGCAAGTGAAAGAATTTAACATTGGTTGTATGCTCACAGGCAATGCCAGACCTACAAGCTATGCGCACGCAAGATAAATCAGTCCCCGTGGCATAGTGGCAAAATGCTCACCTCACGATCGCCTTGGCTAGGGAGGATTTACTGGGTACCAATCCTTCAACTGTAGCCTATGTTCACAACAATAAAATGGGTACTGGGTTGTTAAATGATTTGGTGGGGGTCGTATTCTGGGGAATACTATATTGGGATAAGGACCTGTCCGAAACACTATGCATGCTAGTGGCTGAACAAGAATGTAAGAACTCTTATATAAATAAATAAATCAGGGATGCAATCCCTGATCATGGAATTTGTTGACATAAGTTGTAAAAGCACACATTCAATATTTTTCTTTTAAATTGTAAAAGTTTTTAACATTTTTTCAAATGTAATGATGCTTGGGCTGTTAATAATATTTGTATCACAGAAAGTGATACAAGAATACTGGTACTCGGATATACAGCATTCTTGTCGTGTGCTAATACGAGTTGAAATTTGTTCAATTTGTTGTTTCAATTAGTTATTTAACTTCAATTCATGATACTAGTTCAAATATCAAATACATCTTCGAACAATACAGTTTTTGCTGTTCAGCACTATATACACTATATCAACTTTTTAGGCACCATAACTAACCGATAAACCATTTTTGGGTCGTAATATCAACACGGCATGGAGTCACATGATACAAACAGGTGCCCCGGTAAGTCATCCGACACTAGAAAATGCTTCCAATACGCTACACACATTACTAAGACTAGCAACAGAACTGCTATCATATTCCTGAATAAATGAACTAAATCCTGAATATGAATATATTTCCACAAGGTTATAAAGGAGCACGAGGTCATTTCATGATGCGTAGATGCACGAAACAGTGGCAATGTTCTCTCTTGCCTCATGCTGTGATCATCGATATCTGAACATTATGTACACAAGTCTTTTCAGTTAGGATCAGTGCTATTACTTATTTTATTCAGTATTACTCAACCTAATTCTGTAGCACAGCACCTCATGGACCTGCAACCTCTGTGCAGATATTCATCACGCAGGGTTCACAACCTGAGGTTGTAACACTATAGCACTCTTCGAATGCAATGGACGTTTTAATTTTCTCTCTCGAGTCCAAGCATCGGACATGATGTGCAGTCGATAAAAACACATTTGTATAAAATTCCTTTATTATCTGATAGACTTTAGGATAGTTTCAAAATGAGCGTCTTTAGTATGCACAGTTTGATACCAAAATGAAAGATGTGACACGAAACTGTCAGAACACTTGAAAGATTATAAATACGTTTTTGGTCAAAATTTTTGAAATATTTGTTAAAATTCTATTTATTGTGCTATTACTATGGGACTAGTTTTAAACTGCGTACCTTTAGATTGCGAACAATTTGATACCAAAATGAAAGATGTAACAAAAATTTATGTCAGAACACTGGAAAAATATAAACAATTACTAAGGGCTCACCATAGCCCATGCTGCTTAGAACTTTGTTAAAAGTAGCAAATCTTTAACAAAAACAATTTTGTGATGAGCGTCCAAAATAAAAATGTTAAAATTCCAGTTATTGCTCTATTATTATGGGAATAGGTTTAAAATACGCGCCTTTATATTCTGAACAATTTTATACCAAAATGAAAGACATAACACAAAAATTGATGTTATCAAACTGAACGAGTATACACATTAGACCGAGGTGTGCAAATTGGCGCTTGTTCACGGGTAATTTTAGGCTTTGCTGTGGAGAGTCACGGCGTGCGTTTGGACATTATATGTATATACACCTTCAGGGAATTTAATTGCAAACAACAACAATACTAAAACGAACAATGTGGTAAAAGAATTAAGGTGAGAAAACTGAAATGAGTATACACATTTTACGGATTTTGTGCGCTCACTGGTAACTTTCGCAGACTTTAGGCTTTGCTGCGGTGAGTCACGCAAGGCTTTTGTACATTATATGCACAACTGTTAAAGGATTAAATCAAACTTAATCCAACCCAATCTATTAAAACAATGATAAAATTGCAATATATATGTTTTGATTGCGTACGAGGTGTGATAATTTACAAGTCGGCACAGGTTCTGGACATTTATCTCCACCAGAATCCATGGTTAGGAAGGTCTTTAGGTATCCTTATATGCTGTGAATGAAATACAAAGATTGTCCCCTGCAATAACAAGCCCGTGAACCAAACTCTCGATTCATGAGCGTTCATCGACCAACTGCTCTGGGGCGGTCACCCGAAGCCAGCAGAGGCATGAGATGACACAAATATATTTTTTACATATATATTCCAATATTTTTGATTGGTTTGCTTTTTCAATATTATTCAATAATGTGTCTTGATACATATATATATATATATAATAAAATGCTTAGAACAGCTGAATGTTCAATATAAAGTCACTATGCTGCATACTAGACAAAACATTATTTTAGCTGTTATACTGTACACACACACTATATATAACTATCTACATTTTCACAATTACAAACCACCAAGGCATTCTGGTGGGTCTGGTAATTAACATGTGGTCAGTTCAGCCTAGCAATGCATGTTTTACATGAAATTGTAACTACAAGCATTGAATATATATAATACTGTCACAAATTGTTAATGTTATACTATGGTTTTCTTTAAATGGAACGGGGACGCTAAGCCCCGAAATCGAGATAACCATGTGGGTCTAGCCAGCAATCTAGAAACATTCCAAGACAACATGAGGTCTTGGCAGGTGTAAGATAACCACATGCCTCAGATAATCACCCATTCTATATTTTTGTTATGGTTAGTTTTGAAGAGTTGAAGCACAACCAGCGCTGTAACTCCTCGTGCCAACGCTGCATCAACCACTTACACAACTTACAAAACATGTCCAGCTTTCTGCAACCCTCGCACCTTTATTTAGTTATTAGCAGCTTTTGAGCTCAAACTTCACAACCTAACTTCTTATAACCGCAATGTTTCACAGTTCAAAGCCGTTCTAATAAGAGCAAATAAAGCCACCACGATACCAGGTTGACGTACGGGTTTACCAAGTGCTCGTATACGTAACGTTCCTCGAGCACCACTACTACAGGCTGCCAACCTCGATACTCTTGGAAATACAAAAAAATAAAATAGGTCACCAGGTTTTAAAATCTGATTTAACAACCCAACTATCCATATATAACAATTACAACACAAGCTTGGCCTCAAGTATACAATTTGTAGTTATGAGTATGGAACGATTGGTATCAAATTTCCCCCAATTTTGAGTACGTGGTTGCAAGGTTAAGGCCGACCATAGGCCTACCTGGCCAGCAGTAGGCCGTGTGACCCCCAGGACCATCACATGGCTACACGTGCCCCGCTACTCTAGGCCTATACAACACTTAGGAAACTACTTACTGGTGCCCTGAGTCCTGTTAACGAGGGTCTTGCCCACATTCCTGTTGAAGAACAGAGCCGGAGACTTGACATCGTACCAGTCCTTGCGGGTGAAGGGGTCGATCCTGTGGAAACACAGAACAAGACATTTGTTTACACCACCCGAGCAATCCCCATCACATCTTTATATCACCCATCATCCACCATATTCTACCCGCCGGGCCCTCGTTACTTGGTCCCAGGCCTCCCCGCGGCTCCCGGGGCCCGCTACGCCATCACGAGAAACACTTACACCTTCTTTTTGGACCCCTTCTTGCCCGATTTGTTGAGGCCCTTGTTCTTGCCGACGGCCATGGCTGGAGGAGCGGCGGTAGAGGAGACCCGGAGTGTTGTGGACGTCGGGTAGGAGGTTCCTCCCCACCTCCTCTCGCCTGAACCCACATTATCCCACCATTAAATTTGTTACTATTATAATTACATTTGTTAAATATTATTAATTGGTTATTTGTTAGTTTTAGTCATGGTTTGGGGTTGTTTAGGGTTGTTATTGGTGTGTGGAGGAATGGGTGCGGGAGGGTTCAAATATAACCCACTTGAGGTAGTGTGTCTACGTCACAGTGATGTTACTCTCTTAGAGTATTTATAAAAAAAATTTTTTGCTTGTTAATTTAGGTTAGTTTAAGTTTGTAATGGTGATTTAGGTTATGATAGATTACATTAGACTGAGTTAGATTGGTTACGTTTAAATATGTTACAGTAGATCAGGATTTTTCAGATTACCTGAAGATAGGTTAGGTCAAGTACATGAGGTAAAGATAGACTAGGTTAGCTTAGCTCATGATAGACTAGAATAGCTTAAGCAAGAATAGATTAGGTTAGTTTAGCTTAATTTTCGATAGCTTAGGTTATCATAGAAGAAGTTAAGCGAGTTTCAAAATTATTGATGACGTAGAACACCCACTTATTATGCTCTTTTTGGACACCTCAAGATCCCTAGCCCATTCCTCTCTCCTTCCTCCCTACAAACTTCTAAAAAAACAAATATAATAGCCCCTTACATATCCATAAAATATGAAAACCACCATATTTTTCAATTAAAGCTTAATTTGCAGTTATTTGGGTTAACGATGATGTGGAGAGTTTGGGTTTGTTTTGATAGTGTCGGCTGAGAGTCTCCTTCAACACGGCTGATGGCGACCCACCACTCTCAGGTCTCTATCACACCTCTCACGCTCTTTGTCATCTCTTTTTACTAGTTGACTATGGTTATAGGCGCCGTAATTGGGGTGTGGGAGGCCCTCAAGGTTGTGGGGAAGGCGTGGGTTAATATTAAGTCTTGTTGGCAGGGCCGCGTTCACAACCGCATCACTCGTTTGTGGGTACACGCCCTTATCTGTGAGTTCACCCGCGTCTGTAGTCATACCCGCACAGCCTCGTCTGTACCCACTCAGATTCTTCTATACCCACGTCTGTGGTCATACCCGCACAACCTCATCTGTACCTACAGTCTCGTCTATACCCCTACATCCTCACGTACCCCGTCACCTTTCACTTGTACCCCAAAACCCTCACTTGTACCCCACAACCTCACTTGTACCCCACACCCTTATTTGTACCCCACACCCTTATTTGTACCCCACACCCTTATTTGTACCCCACACTTTCATGTGTATCCCTCCACACCTTCACTTGTACCCTACACCCTTATTTGTACCCCACACTCATGTGTACCCCCACACCCTCATCTGTACCCCGCGTGCACACTGCCCTCAATCTCCCCCCCCCCCCAACACACACACACCTAGACCTCCTGTTTTAACCATGTGTGCATGTGAGTGAGGAATACAGTAACTCTCATGCCAGGCAGAACATAGCTCATGAGGCTATTTGGGGTTCACAACAATATGTATTTTTTACTTGTTGTACAGGGTTCTGTGGTGATTGGAGATGATGTCCATGTCAATTCTGCTGCGGGAGATGAAGAACTGCTGATTATTGGACAGGAGCATCATCACTACCCGTTGCCCATTATCCCAGCACTCTACACTAAACTGCTGATTTTGGTAAGGCATTACATAGATTCTATAAATCTATATCTTGTACAGTTGTACAGAAATGGTTGTGCATGTTTTCCTTATACATGATGCATCAGTTGACCTAGCAGTAAATATGTGCCTGGGAGTGTGGCAACTGTAGTGGGTGTGGCATACTGGCAAAGGTCAGTAGTTAACTTAAGGGAAAATGTTAATATATGCCTATGTGGGGTTATTCCTGACAATGGGAATTATATCTAAAATGCTGAACTGTATTTATTTTTGTTAATAATGTATGACCTTGCTTATCCGAAGCCCACTGACCCGAATGTTTAGGTTATCCGGCGAAGATTAAGGCTGGATATTCTGGCAAATCTTTGTTATTTTTGAATAGCAATTTGGATAACCAGAAATTTTGCAGGATAGTGCAGACTGGCTAATAGTACAGTTATAGGCCTACCAACAATGATGGTAATGGAGTCGTGTGAGGTCTAGCTGCCTGGCGAATGATGCAACAGTTGAATGGGATAAAGTTTGTACATCAGTATATCGTGGAGACATATCGCCAGGCTTGGAAATAGGATGTCTGTATAATTTTCTTATTATTGTTCTTGTTATTGCTAAAACAGTTGTCATTGTTTCTGTATTGCATTTTATTTGATATTGCTAATATGTTAAAATACACAACTCAGCAAAGAAGTTAGATATTTATTTATTTAATTGCTGTTTAAGGTGAGCCTTGGGTTTTGTGTGCCAAGGGTTCCCCACCCCTAGCCTCAGAGGACCTCAATAAGCCTTATACAGTACAAGCTTCTGGTCCCCAATATTGGGAATTACAGTGTACACTGCCAGTGCTCAGTAATCTAAATCATATGGGCTCCATCCCCCATTTGAGTTAGCCAACTTCTTTACCAGGAGCCTTTAACAAATTTCTCGTTTGGCAGAAACCCCAGTAACCTGAATTTCTGTTCAGGCTGAGCTGTAAAGCTCTCGGACTCGAATTTCAGTTTCTCATTCAGTACTGTATAATTTTTGTACCTGAATTCCTATTTAGGTTAAAGGGTCAGAATGGGAAAAAATTCAAACATGAATTCATTTGGATTGCTTGGAATTCGGGTTACTGGAATCTGAATTACTGGGCTCTTACAGTGTTGTATTGTACATTTCCTAAGTCACTTTCACATATAAACTTGCCTCAGATTGTGCTGCCAGCAGGGGGTTTCCTGGTGCCGGTGTTTCAGCATTCCAGCCCAGGGACAACGGATGCATTTTCTGCTCTTCAGTACCTCCATGTTGTCATATGGGGCTTTGTCATGGTACGTGATATCAAGAATTGTTTATAGTGGTTTGCCACGATATGTTTTTGTATAAATCTGTGCTGGTTTTTGTAAACGAGATAGTTTTTGTAAAAACAAGTAACACGTCAAATATATATATTAATGTACAGTATGTACCATATTTTCTGGCAGATAGGATGCAAGGTTTTCATAAATAAATTTGTCAAAATAATTACCTTGTGTGTAATGTACCTAGCTGGGAGCCAGCACCATGACTGCTAGATGCATAGCTAATGCAGTATATCGAAACATACTAAAATTGGCTGGACAGTAAATATCCTTATAAAATACTACACTGTTGTGTGTTATACATTGGCAAATATGGTACTTGCCCAGTTGAGTGTGTAGGGATCTACTGCTTGACCACTAATTGATATGTGTGATAACTCCCAAGCTCCATTTATTGTGTGTGTGTGTTTACATTTTAATCCCTTGTATACAGTTTTCAACTTCAAATAAAACCAAAATAATGTACAAAACTGTAGTACCCAACTCACATGAATAAAAAGAAAGGAAAGTGACGACATTTTAGACAGTCATGGACACTTATCAAGTTGTGCCAAGGAAGAAAAGGAGTGGCAATATAGATTCTATCTCCCTCTCTTACTTAAAGTGTCTATAAAGTTCCAGAATGGACCGAAACATTGTCATATTTCTTCTTTTCAAACGCGTGAATTGAGTATTAATTCTCAGCTGTGTTATTGTTATATTTTCTCTATACAAAATGGTAGTACTGTATTTTTGTATATACAGTATTGTATATATATATAGTTCATACAGGCACCACCATGGAATTAGAAGTAAATTTTATTTATTATTTTACAGGCTCTGACATGGTATATAAAGGCTGAGCACAAGAAGTCTCGTATCCTTGGCTACCACGATTTCTACAACATGACGAGGCACCTCCATAGGGTCACATTTTATATCCTTAGTGGGGGTGAGTTATGATTATATTAATTGTATAAACAAATTATACTGTTCAATAAAGGAATAAATAATGATTAATGATTGTTTTAGATATCTGACAAGTTATTCCCTTCTTTAGTTCAGTGTTTAATTGTTTTCTTATAAAAAAGCTATATTTTACTTGAGGCTTACCAGCATAGGTGTTTTGTTCTTACTATCTTAGATTTTCTGGTGTTGTCATCTTCAATTTTATGTTGTAATCATCTTAGATTTTCTTTTGTAACTGTATTAAATCTTCTGTTACAATCTTAGATTTTCTGGGGGAGCCCCCTTGAGGTTCCCTAAAGCAATTATCACTGATTTAGTGCCATTCTATTAGTTGCCATCAGTCATTGTCCTACTGGAGACCATGAGCCAGAGGGTTATCTTGAGGTTATCTTGAGATGATTTCGGGGCTTTTAGTGTCCCCGTGGCCCGGTCCTTGACCAGGCCTCCACCCCCAGGAAGCAGCCCGTGACAGCTGACTAACACCCAGGTACCTATTTTACTGCTAGGTAACAAGGGCATAGGATGAAAGAAACTCTGCCCATTGTTTCTCGCCGGCGCCCGGGATCGAACCCAGCACCACAGGATCACAAGTCCAGTGTGCTGTCCGCTCGGCCGACTGGTTCCCCGGTCGCTGGTCATGGTCATGACACCCAAAGTGTCCCCCCAAAGCGTCGGTGTGTTTCATCATCATAGAACTGAATGTGGGGTGGGCTGGCTGACCCGGTATGCCTCCCTTTCCCCATAAATGAGGGGAGGGGGGGGGGGAACTATCATGTGCTAGTTTCACAAACTTTTTGTTGTTGTTGGGGGGGGAGGGGAAGTTATTTTGGGGCTCTGGTCCCATTTTTAACTATGTACAGTAGTCGTCTATTCTGGTTCACCTATCTTTTAGGGTGTCTCCCCCAGTCAGTGGCAGGTATGATTAACTTTAGGTGTAAAGTGTTCATAGGCCATCGCTCCCTGTGCTTCTTTGAGGGGCCCAGGTTCTGGCTCCTAGTCCCTGGTAGGCCACTAGAGCTCCGTAACTGATGGCACCTAGTAGTATAGCACTGATTAGCGTTTAATAGCCTCAACGAGCCTCTGGAGCTCACCCAGAAACTGGTATTTCATTGCATTCAACACTTTTTTTTTTAAGAAATCCAGTGGTGTGAACCCTCAAATTCATTACTGTCTTTACATCTTTTTCCTGGCCATATTAGCATTATATCATCCTAAATAACATTAAAGATGGTAGCAATAGAGTCCCTATGAACACAAGAATCATTAATAACATTAAAGTGTTTTGTGTTCTATACAAATTTTGACCAAATGTATGCTTACAAAGTGAGAAATAGTTGTGGATGATGTGAATAGATGGCTATTTCTACCAATCAATATTCCTTCAATCACAGCTGCTTCATTTAATATTTTCCATTATAAAACCAACCCACACTATTTTAACATCAATAGAGCGCAAAAGTAAACAATACGTGGTTTTATGACATTGGCTGTCGATAACAGCAAATTTGTACCGTATAACAAAGGTTGTGTACTGCCTCACTTGACTGTATTAGGCTACTGAAACTATTTTATCATCCACTGCCTCTGTTTACCTTGCAGTAAGTAGGTAATTGGCTGTTAGTCAACTGTTGTGTGTTGCATCCTGAGGAATGGTTAAACGCTGCTAGTGTTCGAGTAAGTTTTTACTCGGCTTTCCAACAAGCAAAAAATTTTTGAGAAACACGTTTTTTCTAATGCCAGGGGCAATAAATACCATTTGAATCATGATTAATTAATGAGAAAGTACTTTGGTAACTATATTCAATTGACTGCAAAATGTAATCTGCTAGGTAATGTCTTCCTTATTTTCTTATTTAAGTAAACCTAGTCGTGTTATTTCACGTTCTGTATAGTGAAAGGTTTTAGAATGCTTATTGACACGAGAAATGATAAAGAAAACTTTGGAAAAGTTACAAGCTAAGCATTGTTGGTGTGGAGATATGCCAGAAGCTCCATCACATCCAGCCTGACCTTGTCCTAATGGCATCACACGATCTTTTGGGTTGCCAATGTCACATGTTGAAAGGCTGTTTGGCATAACGAAGTCACTCTAGGCCAACTATTGACCTCTCACTGGACGCAACCAACAATAGCTGCTAACTCCCAGGCACTTATTTACTGCTACTTGAACAGAGGCATCGAGCAAAAAAGAAATGTGCGAAAACATTTTTGTCCTGCCGTGAGAATTGAACCAAGGACCTCTGTTGTGACTCGACTGTGCCACAATTATTGAAACACATAGAGGTATCAGTTGGTCTGAATAATTGGGGTTGCGCTAATTTGATAAATGCAGTCGGTTATTTACTACAGCAGAATTTGTGAAATGTAGAGGTTTAGGGATTTTGAATGGAAAGTGGCGGGTGCAACGAATACCCGAGTTAGGAAGAATATGATAAAAGGAGATGCTGCTTGAGGACTTCATGGAGAAAGTGACGGTGCTTATGTTACCTACTATCCTTGATGTATCTGTTGCATTATAGTGTATTCTGGCATTCAAATTCTTTGTTGAAATTTTGGATGGAGGTGGCCTCTACAACTTCTCTCAGTGCCTTCCTCTTGTTGACCACCCATACTAGGTAAGAGTGTTTCCTTACATTTCTTTGGCTCATTCGTATTTCCAGCTGGATGATGATAGAGCACTTGGCCAGGATTCATGAAGCATTTACCTATCCACCTATGAAATCTGTTTATTTTTCCTTGATCGTGGCAACTTAGACTGTTTATTAAAAATTTACATGCTTTAAACTTTACAACCCAAAGTTTGTTACTGTTGTCATGGAAGTTCTCATAGCACGTTGGAGCTGGTAAACTGTTTAACAAATATAAACAAAGCCGCCATCACTGAAGAAAGATGTACAGTACAGGTTTCATAAGTGGATATGTAAATGCTCGATGAATGCTGGTCCTCCTGAGAGTATATTCAGGGGAATTTGACTTTAGGAGAAGAGTTGGGAAAGAGTATGTGAGGAAATAAATTGAGAGTGACTAGTACACAAAAAGCAATAGGGATTATACAATGGTGGAATACATATTTTAAGAGCAAGTGATTGTTTTTGCATTGTGTTTAAATGACTAATTACCAGAAGCACCCTTCACTTAGTTGTATGTTACCATTGGGTATTGCTGTGGATATTTTAAAGGGGTAGGAATTCCATGCAATGTTGATTAGCATGAAGTTATAAGAAATGTAAGAGCTTTCCCATACATTGCTTTTGTCATCCATTTGGACTGGTCAGGTGAGTGGCCTTACAGCTTGCAGGTCAGCGTTCGATTCCCGATGGTGCAAGTGGTTGGGTATTGTTCCTTCAAACCCTCATATCTCTCACATGTGCTATATAGTCAGATTGGCTTAATGCTTTCTCTCTGAATTACTTACCTTCCCATTCAAAGTGCTATATAGGAATCTGCTGGAGCTGAATGTGACAAAGTCTGTTGGGCCTAACAGAATCTCACCTTGGCTACTAAAAGAAAGTGCAGAAGCACTAAGTGTGCTCACTCTATGGTGTATAACAGGTCACTGGAAACAGGAGACCTACCGGAAAGCTGGAAGATGGCTAATGTAGTCTCAATATACAAAAAGGGTGACAAGCAAGAGGCAGTGAACTACAGGCCAGTTTTCCTAACTTGTATACCATGCAAGGTGATGGAGAAGATCGTGAGGAAAAGGCTCGTAGAGCATCTGTAGGGAAATAGCTTTGTAACACACCACCAGTAAGGGTTCAGGGATGGTAAATCGTGTCTCAGAGGTTTAATAGAATTCTATGACCAAGCAACAAAAATTAGGCAAGAAAGAGAAGGGCGGGCAGAATGTTTTCCTGGACTGGAGCACTGAAGGTGCTCCAGTGGATAAGGGAGTATCTAAGCAGCAGGAAACAGCAAGTAACTGTGAGGGAGGAGACATCAGAGTGGTGAGATGTCACCAGCGGAGTCCCACAGGGCTCTGTACTTGGACCCATCCTGTTTCTAATATATTTAAATGATCTTCCAGACGGTATAGACTCATTCCTCTCAATGTTTTGCTGATGATGCAAAAATTATGAGAAGAATCAAGACAGACTACTGGACAAACTGGAGGAATGGTCTATAAAATGGCTACTAAAGTTCAACTCAGGAAAGTGTAAAGTAATGTAATTAGACAAAGGGAGCAGAGGGCTGAACACAAGGTACCATCTGGGAGGTGAAATCCTGTAAGAGTCAAATAGAGAGAAAGATCTGGGGGTTGATATCACACCGAACCTGTCCCCAGAAGCCCACATCAAAAGGATATCAGCAGCAGCATATGCTAGATTGGCCAACATAAGAACTGCCTTTGGAAACTTGTGTAAGGAATCGTTCAGGACCTTGTATACCACTTAGGTCAGACCAATCCTGAAATATGCAGATCCTGCCTGGAGTCCATTCCTAGTTAAACACAAGACAGAGTTAGAGAAGATTCAGAGGTATGCCACCAGACTAGTTCCAGAACTAAGAGGTGTGAGCTACGAGGAAAGGCTAAGGGCCCTAAACCTCACATCCCTGGAAAACAGAAGGGTAAGGGGAGACATGATAACCACCTACAAAATTCTCAGGGGAACTGACAGGGTGGACAAAGACAAACTCTTTAGCATGGGTGGAACGCAAACAAGGGGACACAGGTGGAAACTTAGTACCCAAAAGAGCACAGATACATTAGAAATAATGTTGTCAGTGTCAGAGTAGTTAACAAATGGAATGCATTAAGTAGTGATGTGGAGGAGGCTGACTCCATACACAGTTTCAAATGTAGATTTGATAGAGCCTAGTGGGCTCAAGAATCTGTACACCAGTTGATTGACAGTTGAGAGGCAAGACCAAAGAGCCAAAGCTTAACCCCCACAAGCACAACTAGGTGAGTACAAGTAGGAGGGGAGTACTGTACTCCATTTATGATATGAATTTCAATTAAGTTTTGTTTTCACAGGTAATGTGATTTTAATTGTTTTGGGAAGCCTGGTGAAGGATTACTGCCTCGGGGACAGCACTTCCAGCTGCAGCATGGAGATCTCCCTCACCCCTGTTAACTACCAGCAAATCATCTTTATAATGGAAATTTTCTTTGCCATTCCTTTTGTTATCAAACACATAGGTAAGATGTGTTTTGTCTTAGTATAGTTTATTTGAATATAGGTGGTGGAATTACCAGATCAGCCTGGATGTTATGGCTGTGTAGGCCTTTGGGCTATGAGGACAAACAGGTTCAGGAATAGAACTCTCGCAATCATCAACAGGACTGAAGAATAAACTTACTAACTCGTTGACATAATAGAGCCTAATGGGCTCTGGAACCTATACACCAGTCGGCGTCACAAACTCTCCAGCCACCCATGTCAGCTCGGCTTCCCGGCTCTGCTTGTATGTCGCCTTGGGATGCAAAAGGGATGGAGATGTCTGTCATCACTTTCCTGCTGCCTCTTCTCCTTTCTTGTCACAGTTCACTGGCCGCTTCCTGGCTATTCCAGGCAGAATTTCAGCAGCAAAAGCTGATATTGCTCTCAAGGCATTGGGTGGACCAGCTTGCTCTGCAGAAACAAGCATTTCTTTTCATGCTTTATTCTGGACTATTACTCCCATGTACCCAAGTGAGTATTCATCAGTTAGCCGCCAGCTACTCGTTCTTTAGAGACTGGCGTAGGTCCATGCTCAGGTTCTTTTGGGTTGGACATAGATCTCTGCTTTTTGCTCCCCTCTAGCAAGTGGTTGGGGTTCTTAGGCTGGGTACCTGTAGTGCATTGGACACAAGGAGAGATTGCCTAAGAGAACTTGATTGAGTCTTGGTATCTGGTGGATAGAATGCATGGTTATAACATTAATTTTAAGGTAAATACCATAGATTATGCAAAAGATCATGGTAATAGGGCAGCTGTACTTTAAAATTACTTTCAATAAATGAATAATGAAACATACTAAAATTATTTTTGGTATGTTAAATATCCTTATAAAATAGGAGTTGGTTGTATGTGGAGGTGCATCTTATGCCTTGGAAAATACAGTAACTAGTTCTCTGCATTCCCTTGATTGGTTGATTAGCACAGCTGAGCACAATATTTTTGGTTCTTGAATTTTTTCTATTGGTGTTCCTGGCTAAGATACCAATCTGAAATTGTTTATGCTGAAAGGCATACTTGTATGTTGCAATTTACTTTGTTGGGACACTTACTGTTTTTAATTGCAAGAGTACAATATCTGCAATGTTTGGGTGTTGTCACTTCTTGACCCACACTAGGAGGGCATCACAATGTCACATACAAGTTGAAACTGAAATGGCAAAAGTATTGCAAGGTGGTGACACATTATTGTTTTTTAGTTTTTTGGACTACTGTACTTTGGAACATGTTTTCCAGTATGGCCAACTTGCCATATTATGTTATAGTTGATGCAAGCTATATTGCACAACTATTCTTAAGAGTGTTGTACAAGCAAGGGTATTTGTTCTCCCAAGTCCTTTTACTTTTATAAATAATAATTTCTTCTATTGAATATGTATTATTTAAAATTATACAATAAGTTCATTATCAGAATATCAATTTCTCTACATAAAATACTGTACTGTATTATGGAATAAATGCACCATAAAGAAAAACTAATAGTTGGAAACAAAAGAATGCTTTCAGAAACTGGCTGAATGCGTATAATGTAATCACCGAGTATATAGGGCAATAAAGGCTTGGATGGGGACCGGCAGCTTGATCAAATGTTGTAGCAAATAAGATTCTAGCTTGTCTGGTTGTAACATCATAAATAATCATTTTAAATAATGTGTGAATTTTCTCTAAAAGAAAATCAAATTTTCTATTCCTGCGAGATCTTGTTGGAGTAAAAGATCTCGCAGGCATTAGGGGGAATGGGAAGGTCTATAGGAGCTTACTCATCCTCAAAGTAAAAAAAATTAGTACCACTGAAGAAATCTTTTATCTCATGCTAAATAAATAGTGTTCCAGGCTTGGTGCCCTCTTTTGATTGTTACTTTAACCCTTCCTCTTCCAGGATGTCCAATTGGGGCCTTGTGTTCCATGTGTGTGTCCCATATCTGTTAATAATTGTTGTCTTACAGTGGATGTTGTCCGATTCAATGTGGCGGATTCTCCCCCAGACACCCTGGCAGAAGATGTGGCATTAAGATTCACTCATCCCGATTCCTATGTAGGGGTCAGGTGAGCATAGTTTATTATTTATTTATAACCTTGCTTTCCCTAGTATGTGAAAATGAGAAACAGTGTAATAATGATGTATATGTGTAAGCATGAATGTTGTACTACTGTAATTTTGTTTTCAAATACTGTACTGTACTAGTACATTGACAAGTATAGCATATGCAAATGTTCTCCGAAATAGTACATACAAATTAGTTTACGTATACATAAATACTAGCTGTTATTGTCAATATAAGGGCCTCTGCTAAGATGCTCTGTTGAAAGTTTCGAGATTCAGTGTACAGCACGAGATAGTTTTTTAAATGAAGCTCTATTCAGTTTGTCTAATCTAGTATGCATTTGCTGGACGGTAGAGCAACGGTCTCGCTTCGTGCAGGTCGGCGTTCAATCCCCGACCGTCCAAGTGGTTGGGCACCATTCCTCCTCCTACCTACCTTCCTCCCTACCTCCCTTCCTTTCCCCCTTTTCCCTATTCCATCCCTAATCCTTATTCTGATCTCTTCCAAGTGCTATATAGTCATAATGGCTTGGTGCTTTCTCCTGATAGTTCCCTTCCCTTGCCACAAAATAGCTATTTCGAAATGGATATTGTTTTTCCAACTTTCGCTGACGTCTGATCGTCAGTGTATCTCTTTCTTCGTTGATGTCTTCAGATAGATTGCTAAATGCTGTCTTAGATATACAGTAAATTTTTTATAAATATCAAATTTATCACACTACACTCCTTATACTCCAGTGTAGTAATTATTAATTATGTTACTGTGTGATTAAAGGGATATCTGATTGATGGATTAAATTAAAAAAGGAATTAGTTTACAAAATATATTTGAGATTTAGTTTTGCAATTGATGCATTCCTGGAACAATTCCCCACGAATATTAAATTTACGCCAAGTGGTAAATGTACTCTTTCTGAAGAGGCTACAGAGCCTGGCAACGGGAAGCCACCAAGGAATCCACCAGAAAGAGGCACTTCATTACATTCAGTGATGTTTTGTTTTCCTATTTCAATAAAGTACATATTTAGATGTTATTACAGTGTTTTCCAGTCACTTCTCAGCCTCAGATATATTGTATAAGGTGTATTTATACACTCACTGATGATGACGATGATAAAAATGTAAATACAGGGGTATTGCCTTTTGTTTTCCTTATTAGTACATATTGGCTTTATGAGTGATATTTAGTACATTTTAAGCCTCCTCTGGCACAGATGGTGCTAAATAGTCTTCCTGGCTTGGTGCTACCTTTTTTTAATTGCAGTACTGTACTTGCTTTTTTATTATTACATCTTTTGTTTATGAAATCTAACATCTTGGTATGTAGCCAAAATATTTTAAGAGATAACTAATTACAACTTTTTTTCAGGGGTCCAAGTAATCTTGAATGGGTTCTTGAGCGTCAAGCAGACTTGCTGCAAGTTCTTCGATACAGAAACTCTGTGTTGACTCAACAAGTTTATATGCTCTCTCAGCAAATTCAGCATGCTTGAGTAATGTAGCAGGCTTCCACAGAAACTCGGTGATGACTCGCCAATTTGCCCGTACTCCCAACAATTTACCATGCTTCAATGTAGCGGCACTGGCTTCCAAGTCCAGTATTTCTAGGATGGATTTCTTGAGTATATTGATTGTTAGTGTCCTTGATTTTGTAAATACTTCATGCAAGTGATCCAATGCCAAATATTTGAAAGACATTTGTGTCGTATTTGATTATCAGTAATATCAGATAGTCTTTTATGGAGTGCGTTCAATAACTATTGGAAATTTATTGCCAAAGTTGCTTATCAAAGAGACTAAGCTGTATTTTTAAAAACAATAGGTGCAGTATTTAAAAAAAAATGAAAATTTTATTAAATTTGTAATTTTGTATAATGGTCTTGACAAATGACCAAGACTGGCTGACAAACTGTTTTATATATTACATAGTTTAAGTAATTTGATATAAAAGTCGCCTGCTTTATATTTAAGGTCAAGATGCATCAGTATCCTATATCAACAATGTTTTTATGGTGGATTCCATGGTTCTTGTTGAGATTTATTACACTACGTCTTTGTAAAGCTATATTTTTACTGTAGCAAATCACTTCACTTAATCTCTGAGAAATAGCCTTTATAGTTCAAGTATTTGAGCTCAAGTTTGTATGGGACCACTTTTACGTTTATTAGCATATCAAAAGGTGGATTTTGCTATTGGGCTCTTTTTTTTTTTTTTTTTTTTTTTTGTTTCTTCTTGAAAATGCTGTCCTTTTGTGTTATGGGCCATATGATATACTGTATAAAGTGAGGTATGTTTTTATTGTGTAGCCCCCATTGAATAGTGTTAATACACAGTCACTGTTCTTCATGCATAAGCTAATGCAAATGAGATTAGTTGTTTACATTGTAGGATTGTCATTTAACCGTTAAATATGGCTCGGCTAATTAACCCTCGCAATGCTCTGCGATTGTAGTCATTTAAGGGTTGCTGTTTATTAACAACATCACTAGCTATTTTACATGAGCCTCCAGTTGTCATGTACCATGGACTGATTGCATCACCTTGTGCCAATGTTGATATATTGTGTTGTGCTAGAAATATATACGGAAAGTATATATATTTTTTTAGCCTAACAGCTGTGCTAGAGTTGAGGTTGTTTGCTTATGCAATGTAATTGCAATGCAGATTGCATATTATTGAACACTGTTGTTTATGTAACCTTTTTATGGTTTACTGTACCAATGTTTTTCTTTGCATATATTACATCAGTGCAGTATGACATAGAGGTTAAATTGACAAGTGAATAGTCATATTAATGTGAGTAATTATTTGTGAATCAAAGTGTGTAATATATTATTTTAAATTACATAAATATGTAGTTATTCTCCAGTTGGGATACCTAATGGTTTTCCCAGGAATTATTTTTACCAATGGCATTCTTTGTGCAATATCTGCAAAATGGCCTTGTATATCACCTTGGAAATTTCAATTTTGATATATGGTGGAGGAAGGAAGGTGCCTATTATTTTGGGGACATTTTAAACACAGGCTTCTCCAGGAAGGGAAAGACTTTGAATGATATCCTATGAGTGAATACTCCGAACACAGACAAGATTTTGACACACGCGTTGTTGACTAGAGATGCTTCCACCAGTCTCAGTTGTGAACAGAACACTAGGAAATTTTGCAGTAGAACCAAATGTAGGCTCATTTTTTTGAATATTGAAAGAATGGTCAAAGATATTCAAATTAGATTTGGAATGTCTTAAAATTGTAACATATGCTAAGCAAATTTTCATCTTCATGTCCCATATATTTGTAAAGTTATTTGGACCTCAGACTACTCCGTATACCCCCCCCCCATATGTATGCTTCATAAACCCGTCCCCCCCCCATATGTATGCTTCATAAACCCTTCCCCTTCCCCCATATACCCCCCTCTGTATATATCCCCTGTACTCAGTACAGTGCCCAGCAATCATAGCAAGCCTCATACTTGTTACACCGCCCTGTTTGTGTCCTGTGATTTGCCAGCTCGGGGATACCTTTCTTGATTACCCTTCTTGTGATGGAAACGTATCTAGTCGTGATTAGATGCTAAAGTGAATTATAACTTGCTAACATTAATTATCTCGGGCATATCATCTTCTTTCTTGTCATTACGTATTTGAATTTGCCTCCAGGTAACCGATTTAAATGACATTTCAGATGTCATTTAAACACGTAACACGTAAAATACGTAAACGCGTAAAATACACGTAAAATAAATTGACTGAATTCTGAATTTTGTTATAAATGGTAAGTGATGCTTTGAACAATAAGGAGTAATACTAGTAAATTTCTAGAATAATCTAGTTTTGTCAATTTTTGACATGTGTGTCTATATCACTTTTAACAAACAGTGCCTCAGCAAGTGCAATTATATATCTGTCTAGCCAAATAGAATTTTTACTATTTCTTTTTAAGATTATCTGTAAGAGTTTTTAGTTTTAATTATTAGGCAGCAAGCTGTATTGTTACCTTTTTGCATTTATTGAAGTCTTCCATAAAATATTATGGTTATTTTCACATTGCTTTGGAAGAGGGAATGTTTTTTTTCAGTCTGTCATCCAGAAACAATAGTAGAGAAACAATAGAAACAATAGTAGAGTACAGCAACTATTGGTCAAAACATACAAAAGCAGACTCTTCTACCCCAAAAAATTTTTTGCAATATTAATTTTGTAGAGGACACAAAACAAGGCAGGAACCCAACCTAAACTTTTATTGGTCCATTATAGGACATATATGTACTAAATTAGGCCTAAGATGGCATATATTTGACCTAGGACAGGTTAGATTAAGTTGAACAGTGCAGCCTCATTTTGCCAAATCTCCGATTGCAATACACACACTTCACGTTGGTTTACTCACCCGTTTCACTGAACAAGTACTTAGCATCGGCGAAGTGGGCTGTGTGTGGATTGCTTTGGAAGCTGGGCCAGAATTCACAGACTTATGGGAAAGTTGCCCATCATATGATTGGTTGAAATTAATATTTCGCTCAGTGAAATTAACCCATTGAGCATGGGGAAATATTAGGGTTACCTTGAGATGATTTCAGGGCATAGCATCCTCGTGGCCCGGTCATCGACCAGGCCTCCAAGTGTATAAATAATAACTTGTAATATTGTTGCACTCATGATTTTAATAGATGGATTCAATATTGGGGGGGGGTGGAATTGGAGCCTTGAAAAGACCATTGAGCATATTTAAAATTATATTCTATGATTTAGTGTCTTTTGACTTGTGGCTTTTGTTCACATACACATGGCCCTTTTACATTTGAAATTGTGGTTTTGAGGCCAGGGCATGTGAAATATGCTCAGTGTGGTGAAGTGTCTTTACAGACAGATTCTCCTGTTAGTTTTTGAGCAAATAATACATTTAAATTAAAATTGTAATCAGTGAAATTAACCCATAGGATCTGGGAAAAATTAAAGATTGAATGGCAACTGTTGTTATGGCTTCAGTCACATGTTAAACAATTATCATATATGAATGAAACATTAGGAGAAAGAAGCAATAATAGAACTGTACTTTCCTTGTCTTTAAAATTAAAAAATATTGCATCACACAAATACCTCCTAAAGGCATTTTCAGTTGCAATGAATCCTTCACTCCAATGAATTGGATGTTTGGTCCCATATAGTTTGCTGAATTAAGATTGCACTGCAGAGTTGCTGTACTTTTCTAACTTTTGGCATGCCATTTGGAGTACTGTATTCCAATAGTACAAAACATGAACTTTTGGGGGATTCTACAATCCATTTTTGCACATTCCACTACTAGTTGCTCTAAGAACTATTGTTTCTGGAGGATGGATTTGTGTTTTCAGAATATATAATTAATTTTGTTATTGCTTTTGGTTTAATTTTTTTATTTTATCTGATGCCACATTGCCTTGGAATGGCTCCATCTTTAAGGTCAGCCACATGCAGATTCTTTCCCAGAGGTAAAACGAAATCACAATAGCATGATGTACTGTATCAACGAGCGAATTCTGGAGCAATAGAGTGGGACCTGTTGCACACGAGTTTGGTCCCACCGTATTGCTCCAAAGTTGTCTCACTTTCCCAAATGTTCAAATGTCTTCAGGTGTCATATAATTCTTGTTGTCGTTGCTGATATTTACGCGAGCCATTTGCTACTTGCATCATGTAGACACAAAAGACGATGGATGAATTAAATGACGATGCACCCTTATGTGTGAAACATCGTCAATTGGAATACAGTATACTGTGTTTGTCTATATGAACATAAATAAATGAATCTGTACCTGGTGGTCTTTATTCCTAGTTACAGCTTGGGAAATGTGAATATCTGAGGGAAAGCAGTGCTTTGGAAATGTGAATATCTGAGTGAAAGCAGTGCTTCCCTTGGCAGGCAGGTGAGAGAATAGATGTGAAGATATTGAAAATCACAAGGAATTTAAAGCAATGAAAGAAAAGTATGGAAAAGTTGCTATTTATGCAGAATTCAACATGGAAAGTGTGAGGAAATTGTAACAAATTAGTCATATTGCTATGCAAGTGAATCCAAGGAAAAGAATACAAAAATTTGAAGATTAATTCCCTTTTTCTTCCCCTCTGTTGCCCCTCAATAAAATCCCTGTTGAATTGAACACCTTTGACATTGCTCATCTTGCACCTTTTTGCTCTCGTATCGGCATCCCGAGTGATATAGGAACTTATGAATATTCTGCAACACAAACAGTGCTATATAGTCTTCCTGGCTTGGTGCCTTCTTTTGATGATTACTTACTTTGCTCTCATACTATCATCTTGAATGATATTTTGGAAATGTTTATATATTTTGTCACACAGGGCTATATAGTCTTCCACGCTTGACATATACTTTTGTTAATGACATTTATTCATCCCTTGATGTTAGTGCTGCTCTGGGTAGTTGAAGCCAATTAGTCGTGCTACTGAACATCTTTAGCTGAAATGTTATTTTGTTATCTTCTATTGTATTTTGGGTATATTTACATGTACCTTTTTTGTGTTTGTTTACCCTGAACTGTAGAGTTTCTAGTCATTGCTTAAGAATCTAGGTAACTGCAGGAGGCCTATTGGCCTATATGAGGCAGCTCCTATTTATGTCCACCCAAAATTGATCGTTGGGTTTCAGCTGCCTAATTAATGAAGGAGACGTAATTTATTATTTCCATGAAAGTATCCAATGATACAGTCCTTCCTACTTGAGGTTATCTTGAGATGATTTCGGGACTTAGCGGCCCGGTCCTCGACCAGGCCTCCGTTTTATTACACATCCCCAGGAAGCAGCCCATAGCAGCTGTCTAACTCCCAGGTACCTATTTACTGCTAAGTAACTGGGGCATCATGGTGAAAGAAACATTTTGCCCATTTGTCTTCGCTTCCACCGGGGATCAAACCTGGTACCTCAGGACTACGGATCCGAAGCGCTGTCCACCCAGCTGTCAGGCGCCCTTGGAAATAATAATTTAACTTCGCAAATTTTTCACGTAACTTCTGATGCTTTACTCCCCTCCACTAACAGAAGATTGTGCAATATGTTTATATAGTGGAGCATTACTTTCACTCAATTTGAGTGTTGGAGGTCTTATGTTTCCACGATTACGTCCAAAACTCCTCTGCCACAGACCTGGAAGTGTGTCTTCAAGATAGCGGGTAAGTTCGTTCCCGATGTCTCGCCGGTCCTTCACCTCCGTGGTTCTCTTGTGGCGGACTCATTGCAGGTCGCAACCGAACTGGGTTCCCACTTTAATTCTGTTAGCTCTGGTTCTCATCTTCCTCAATCTTTTTGCTCTTCGTCTCCTGCTTTCTCGTCCACAATCCTCCTTTGTGATTGTAGTTGACTCTCGTAGTGCCCTCATGGCTCTCGGGTCTTTAATCCTGTCCATCCGGTAGTTGTCGAGATTCAACATTGGCTGTTTGTTATCTCTAGTAAATTTTAATCCGTGGAGTTTTGCTGGGTTCCCAGCCATGTTGGTGTTTCTTTAAATGAGCATGCAGATGCTGCCGCTAAGGAAGCTATCCACACTTGTCCCATCTCCCATAAAGGTATTCCTTATTCCGACTTTTACCCAGTTATTCATTCCTCCATCCTTGCCCGTTGGCAGGGTTATTGGTCGTCTGTTACTGTTAACAAACTGCGTACTCTTAGGAGTCGTGTGTCCCTGTGGCCTTCCTCCTGTCACCGTAACCGGCAGTGGGAAATGGCTCTGGCGCAGTTGCATCTTGGAGTCACTTAATGGAGTGTCGCCCAGCTCCTTGTTGTCCAAATTGCATTGCCCCTCTTACTGTCGTGCATATCCTTGTTGAATGTCCTGACTTCCAGGACGAGCGTGTGTCTTGCTTTCTGACTGCCCCTCGCGGTCACTTGTCCCTCGATAGAATTCTTGGTGAATCGGATACTTTTGATATCGTTCGCCTTATGCGTTTCTGTTTTCGTATTGGTATCCTTGGTGATATTTAGCGCCCTCTGATTATTCCGCACATTTGGTGGTGCTACATAGCCTTCCCGGTTTGGTGCCTTCTTTTGATAATAACGTACTTACTTTCACTCAATTTAGTCATACTTTTCATCATTGCACATTGCTTTCATTTTTCAAATTTGATACTTGTATATTTGATGGGATATGAAGACAGACTGAAAGTTGGGATATGTGGACAGACAACAATAGGATATGAGAATAGACTTCAGAAGGGTTATGAATTTATCTGAGGGCTATTATCTCCAGTGACCTCAATGGGTACCGGAATCTCACGGCTTGGACCATTGAGGATTGACCACTGACCCTGGAAGAAACGAGACGATGTATCAACCAGCCCAAGTGGATGGGCATAGCAGGCTGGAAAATCTCTCCTGTATTCAATCCCCAATGTGGCTGTTGAATTTTAAAAATTACATGTGACTTTGAGAGCAATGTATAGCATTGTTGACTTCTTTGTCTAGCAAGGAGTTTATTTACCGGCATACAGATTATTCATGCATGTAATCGACAGAGACTTGCGTTAATTATTTTTCTCGTATCGCTGATCCAGGATACTTATAATGGAAAATCAGACTGTTACACTGGTAGAATATAATTTATTTTGGTACTTGCAAAACATATTTTAGTAAGCAACAACATTTTATTACAGAAGGTGGCTAATGTTTCCATGGAGAATGTGCTTCCTGTGGAGGGACTGTACACCTTGTGACTGGTTGTGTTTCTTTTAGATTAGATTAGATTTTTTATTCAGGTAAAGGTACACACATTGAAGATGAGTTACAAACATAATGTTGGATTTAAAGATAGAGTTAGTACATACAATACCTAAAGCCACTAATACGCATAGCGTTTCGGGCAATTACAAGTCTGTTGGTTTTAAGGGGTCTGTATATTTTGCATGGGAGCTTCTACTTTAAATTGAATGAATGGAAAATACCCATTAGTTGATACTGCAGTTACCTTGCGTTGGTTCTGAAGATCAATGTCTGCGGCCCGGTCTCTGACATCATCTATTTAACTTCTCAGCTGATCCTTTCAAGATGGTGGTAACATCCTTCATAATATATGCGATCTGAAGAACTTAGTCGATTAAAAGTCCCAGGTCGTCCTCTGGAAGGTCACGTTGCATGTGAAACCAACGTATTCATTATTTTCTAGTTGACTTGATTGAAAGGTCATAAAAATATCTTCAGAGTTATATCTGAGAAAAAGATCACAGTATTAAAATCCAAACCATAACTAAAAAAAAGTTTGTAATTTATCACTCACTCACAATTAATAATTACTTGTGCTAGACAATGTGGATTTCACAAAGTTTTTAATATTCAATATTGTTGTATATGAGTAGGAAGAAAACGGTGTGTTCATTTGCAGCAACAGCACAGGTTTGGAGTTTAAAGAAACCTGTAAAATTTGAGGTCTTGAGCATCCTTTATATATCAGAAAGGATGCTTAGGGTTAGCCTTACCCAACTTTGCAGTGGGAACGGTCTGGGGCATGAGGAGGACATAGGCTGGCCAGGGTGGCCATAATTCAAGAGGGAACAGTATGTTCGGGTCACATTCTGGCCCTCACAATGCCCGCCGGCTACACCTAGCTATGTATTTTGAAAACAGAGAGAGATATAGTCTGCAGGAAGCGTCAATATCATGGTGGTTTTAATTTCATTAAAGCACCAGAATTCTGACGCTGTATAGTCGATAGCAGTAAAATTGTGGTGCTTTAGGTGTGAGGACAGGTCAATATACTCACGTCTGAGACACATTTTCCAGCTGTCTGCCGCAAAACTTCTTGACGAACTCGATATTGACGTAATCCTTACATTGACTTCCCTTCTGAGGTCTCAGGTCGAATTCAGCGAAGTCAAGGGATATGATGAATCCTTTGGGAGCCTGTAATTGTAAATTTTACTTTCGTCTGCTTTTTATGGGCATATTTGTCATGTTGAAAATATGGTTATATTATTTATGGATATCTTAGACATGGTTTGGCTTCTACTTTCCTGGGATGTTAGTGCAAAAGGTTCATTGACTTCTACCTTCATGGGCTAGGATTCACGAAGCACTTACGTGTTCACTTACAAGACATTACTTGAGCGTCTTGCAAGTGCATCTTACCTCGATCTTAGCACCTTAGTCTGCATTAACTAAACAGTTTACGTGCTCCGGAGCACATTGAGACCATCCTCATCCCAAGATTATCATTGTTATGGTGGACCTCGTAGCACTTTGTAGTTCGTAAACTGCTTTTAGTAAATACCGATTTAACATGATCACGATAAGATGTACAGGCCTCGTAAGTGCTTTATGAATCCTGACTGAATGGTGCCCCATTCAGTATATATATATATATATATATATATATATATATATATATATATATATATATATATATATATATATATATATATATATATATATATATATATTAAATATGACCGAAAAAGTAAGATTAATAATTCTAACACGAATTTTCTCAATCTTTCGTACATTACGCTTCACTGTTGGAGGTAAATAAAAAATCACTTCTCCAAAATTCATTTTTATTTCTAGTCTGACGCGACACGGGCGCGTTTCGTAAAACTTATTACATTTTCAAAGACTTCACAAATACACAACTGATTAGAACTTACGTATCTCTGATTTTATATCTACATATTCGACCTCGAGACACAAAAGAAGGTCACTACCAAAGATACCTTACAAGCAGAACTTATTGCAGAAGGAGGAAAGAATCGAGGCAACTACAGAAGCACCATACTGTCCCCCGAGCTTAAAGCGGCAGCTAAAAGCCTTCGTGAGAACAAGGAGATAGTTGTCAGGAGAGGTGACAAGTCGCCAATATATGTCATTCTTAAAAAAGACGAATATCTAGCGAAAATGAACATCATACTCTCTGACCAAACTAAGTTCCAAAGGGTAACGAAGGACACTACAGCCGAATTAAAAGCAAAGGTCAACAAGCTGATCGAAACTGTGAACGCCAAGAAATCCGGACTCCACCTGCCAAAGATCATTGGGGAATATAAACCTGGATATGCGTATGGAAATGTCAAGACGCACAAGCCTGGAAACCCACTTCGGCCAATCATTAGCCAGATACCCACACCCACGTACAGACTGGCGAAGCGACTCAACGGCCTGCTGACTCCTTATGTTCCTTGCGCCTTCAGCCTGAAGTCTCCAAAGGAATTTGTGGACTTACTGCGGGGCACACGGGCCACAGGGATAAGAGCCTCGTTGGACGTAGAATCGCTGTTTACCAACGTACCTGTGGACGAGACAATCGGAATGATAGCCGACAGAGTGTATCGTGATCCAGCCTGTACTCCTCTTGACAGCCAGAAAATATTCTGAGGAAACTACTCCAAGCTTGTACTAAAGAGGCACCCTTCTTGAGCCCGGATGGGCACATGTATAAGCAAGTAGATGGGGTCGCCATGGGTTCTCCCCTAGGTGTCCTGTTTGCAAACTTCTACATGGGTACCATCGAGCAAAAAGTCTTAGTCGACATGAACTTGAAACCGGCCATATACTGCAGGTATGTTGACGACATTTTTACACAGGTACCTGATGTCAGACATCTGCAGGAGCTGAAGGAGGCATTTGAGCAGAGTTCCGTGCTGCGTTTCACTTACGAGATGGAAAAGGATGGGAAGCTGCCCTTTCTAGATGTAACAGTCATGGAAAAGGGCGGAGGTTTCCACACTGCAGTCTACACTAAGGAAACAAACATAGGAATGGGCCTAAATGCCAACAGCGACTGCCCTGACAGGTACAAGAGGAGTGTTGTTAACGCATATGTCGACCGTGCTCTCAGCCACAGCTCAGAATGGAAGCAAGTCGACGAAGAACTCTGTAGGGTAAGGCAGGTCCTAGTCAATAACGGCTTCTCCAATGGTTTCATCGAAGACATCATAAGAAGGAAAGTGAAAAGCCATGCAACCTCTGAAGAGACAACTAACACAACACCTATACCCCCTATTAGACTATTTTACAGGAACTTCTTTTCCACAGCTCATAAAACGGAGGAAAGGGTCCTGAAAGATATTGTTAATAGAAACGTTATCCCTACAGACAAAAATCAGAGGATACAACTGACGATTTACTATAAAACCAGAAAAACGGCCAGTCTACTCATGAGAAACTCTCCAGACACAAAACAGAACGCTTTAAAAGAGACTAACGTCGTCTATGCCTTCAAATGCCCACTTGGGGACTGTAAGCTCCAAAAAACCCAGTATATAGGCAAGACAACAACATCTCTTTCTAGGCGTTTAACGATGCATAAGCAACAGGGCTCCATTAAGGAACATATAATCTCTTCCCACAACCAAACCATCGCCAGAGAAATCCTAGTAAACAACACAGAAATCATCGATAGATACAGCGATAGCAGGCGGCTTGACGTTTGCGAGGCACTACACATCAAGAAGTCAACACCAGCAATCAACAGCCAATTATTGCACAACTATATTCTACCCACCTCAAGACTCCGCTCCAATATAGAAGCATCAAGAAATATGGACCAATAGGCTTTCTACAAACACTTCTATTCAATACCCATTGTTTGTGTTCTGTCTTGTGTTGATACTTTTAATACCCTATTAATATCCCCTCTTGTTCTGTCTTGTGTTAATGCCACATCACCCCTCCCACCTCACTCAAATGTAGATATAAAATCGGAGATACGTAAGTTCTAATCAGTTGTGTATTTGTGAACTAAAGTCTTTGAAAATGTAATAAGTTTTACGAAACGCGCCCGTGTCGCGTCAGACTAGAAATAAAAATGAATTTTGGAGAATTGATTTTTGATTTACCTCCAACAGTGAAGCGTAATGTACGAAAGATTGAGAAAATTCGTGTTAGAATTACTAATCTTACTTTTTCGGTCATATTTAATAATATATGTCTACAGGAAAGACTGCTACCAAAATATACTTATATATATATAATCTTTGGACAACACCCACCAGTGGGACTCGAACCCAGAAAGCACAACTACCTTCCAGTAGCAGGCATAACTAGTATGCTTTAACCCACTACACCATCAGACCTTTCAAAAGAAGTAGATAGTTCGAGATATATATATCTCAAACATCTCTACTTCCCGAAGGCACCAGATGAGTGTGGGGTCAGTCTGCATTTTCCATCAAGCCACTGTCAATGTGAGAGAACTATATATATATATATATATATATATATATATATATATATATATATATATATATATATATATATATATATATATATATATATACAGTATATATATATATATATATATATATATATATATATATATATATATATATATATATATATATATATATATATATATATATATATATATATATATATATATAAATTATGACAAAACAGCAAGTAGGGAAAGTCCTAATGAGCCCAGTGGGTGCCTCACCCTTATCTCTCCCCCCAGCCCAGTGAGTGCCTCACCCTTATCTCTCCCCCAGCCCATTATGCCTCACCCTTATCCTCCACAGACAGACGATGTCCGCCGGGTACAGACTGGGGTAGTAAGGTGTGCTGAGGGTGCCCTCGAAGTCAACCAGACCCCCGCACACGAACTCCGACGTTATCTGCAGATGGAGTTCCCCTTTCTTGTGCGCGATGTCTCTGAGGTTCAGCTTCAGCACGACGACGTCGGACTTGGTCTCGTAGCTGACCTTTGCCTTCTTGCAATATCTGCCAGGAAGAAATATCGTCTTAATTTATTTATTTATTTATTTATTTATTTATTTATATACAAGAAGGTACATTGGGTTTGTGAGAATACATTGGATAGTACAGTATTTACACTCTTGTAAAGCCACTAGTACGCGCAGCGTTTCGGGCAGGTCCATAATCTAACAGATAATTTTAAGTAGGTAATTTCTATCAGAATTGATAAATGATAAAGATACATTGCAAGAGAAAAATGAGATGAGAGAGCTTAGTAAGTATATTAAAGTCTTAATGAGAGTAGTTGTATGGAGACAATATTAATGTCTTAAATGAATTAATATCAATCAATAAGGATAAATGGATTTATGTCTCGGTATTATTATATTATTTTGCTAAATTATATGTAATTAAATTAGCTAATTTAATGTTAAATTATTGCTAATTAAATTGTAATTAAACAATTAAATCAATATAATTAAATTATATCTTGTGTACGATGTCTCTAATGTTGTGTACGATGTTTCTAATGTTGTGTACGATGTCTCTAACGTTGTGTACGATGTCTCTAATGTTGTGTACGATGTTTCTAATGTTGTGTACGATGTCTCTAGCGTTGTGTACGATGGCTCTAATGTTGTGTACGATGGCTCTAATGTTGTGTACGATGTTTCTAATGTTGTGTACGATGTCTCTAACGTTGTGTACGATGGCTCTAATGTTGTGTACGATGGCTCTAATGTTGTGTACGATGTTTCTAATGTTGTGTACGATGTCTCTAACGTTGTGTACGATGGCTCTAATGTTGTGTACGATGGCTCTAATGTTGTGTACGATGGCTCTAATGTTGTGTACGATGTCTCTAATGTTGTGTACGATGTCTCTAATGTTGTGTACGATGTTTCTAATGTTGCGTACGATGTCTCTAATGTTGTGTACGATGTCTCTAATGCTTAACTCTAACGAGAAAAGATCAACTTCCGGGTACCAATTTACTGCTGGGTAAACAGAAGTATCAGGTGCAAGTTCCACCTAAGCCAACTACTGAACTTTCCCCAGGATGCAATCCACGTTAGTTGCCCAAACGCCTCAGTCCTGCCGGGGGAATCGACCCCGGTGCCTTTTGGCTGTGAGGCGACTGCCCTGGCCACTATGCTTAGCACTTTCTTCTGGCCGTGATTCACCAAGTACTTAAGTATCCACTTACGAAACCTGTACATCTTTCCTCGATCATGGCGGCCTTGTATTTATATGACAATTTACGAGCTAGTTACTGACAATCTCGTAGCAGTTCCAAGCTCACAAATTCCCGCTACGAGACAGTAAGCCGGGTCTCGAAGCCTTTCACCTGATACCCCTGTTCACCTTACCTGCCCCAGGAGTGAGACGCTAGAGAGGTCAATATTTCTCACCGCTGCTTCTTGGCCTTGTCGTAGGTGAGGTCGTCCGCATCAACGAGGCTGAGGAAGGAGTTGGAACAGTTGGGGTCGTTGGTACCGTCGTCCAGGGCCACGTGGCCGGCCACCCGGATGCCGTACTTCTTCAGCCCGACGCCCTGTCCCAGGGGACGCCACCACAAAGGTTACCACAAGCCCCAAACGCTGTATTAGTGACTTTAGGTATTGTATGTACTATATGCAGGCGAGGAGTCGCAATAACGTGGCTAAAGTATGTTGACCAGACCACACACTAGAAGGTGAAGGGACGACGACGTTTCGGTCCGTCCTGGACCATTCTCAAGTCGATTGTGAGAATGTCGACAATGGACTTAAGAATGGTCCAGGACGGACCGAAACGTCGTCGTCCCTTCACCTTCTAGTGTGAGGTCTGGTCAACATTCTATGTACCAACTCTATCTGTAAATCCAATATTATATTTATAACTCATCTTCTATGTATTTACTTTTACCTGAATAAAAATTTGAATTTTTGAATTTTTGAATTTAGTAAACAACAACAAACAGGTCAATATTGAGATTGTTAGTGGTGGTGGTGATTGTGAACAGTGATGGGGATGTTAATAGTGGTTTACCCGCATTTACCTAAGACGCACTATCTCTTTAGTGGACTCGACAGGAAGCCGCCGGCTTGTCCTGATGATTTTATCAAGCTGGATTTTCAAATTCAGCGATGTTTTGGCCATTACCGCTTCGGCGGGTAGGCGGTTCTATGGGTTTATGACCCTGTGGAGACTGCAGTGACTATGATGGTGGTGATAGTGAGGATACCTGGTGATAGTGAGGATACCTGGTGATAGTGAGGATACCTGGTGATGGCGAGGATACCTGGTGATAGTGAGGATACCTGGTGATAGTGAGGATACCTGGTGATTGCGATAACAAAAGTACCCAAACAGAGATGTTATTTAAGATTCGCTACTTAGAACAAAAAGTTCCAAGTAGCACGGGCTATGGTGAGCCCGTAGTGGACTTACCTGGCACAGGAGCGGGGCAAGTAGCACGGGCTATGGTGAGCCCGTAGTGGACTTACCTGGCACAGGAGCGGGGCAAGTAGCACGGGCTATGGTGAGCCCGTAGTGGACTTACCTGGCACAGGAGCGGGGCAAGTAGCACGGGCTATGGTGAGCCCGTAGTGGACTTACCTGGCACAGGAGCGGGGCAAGTAGCACGGGCTATGGTGAGCCCGTAGTGGACTTACCTGGCACAGGAGCGGGGCAAGTAGCCCGGGCTATGGTGAGCCCGTAGTGGACTTACCTGGCACAGGAGCGGGGCAAGTAGCACGGGCTATGGTGAGCCCGTAGTGGACTTACCTGGCACAGGAGCGGGGCAAGTAGCCCGGGCTATGGTGAGCCCGTAGTGGACTTACCTGGCACAGGAGCGGGGCAAGTAGCACGGGCTATGGTGAGCCCGTAGTGGACTTACCTGGCACAGGAGCGGGGCAAGTAGCACGGGCTATGGTGAGCCCGTAGTGGACTTACCTGGCACAGGAGCGGGGCAAGTAGCCCGGGCTATGGTGAGCCCGTAGTGGACTTACCTGGCACAGGAGCGGGGCAAGTAGCACGGGCTATGGTGAGCCCGTAGTGGACTTACCTGGCACAGGAGCGGGGCAAGTAGCCCGGGCTATGGTGAGCCCGTAGTGGACTTACCTGGCACAGGAGCGGGGCAAGTAGCACGGGCTATGGTGAGCCCGTAGTGGACTTACCTGGCACAGGAGCGGGGCAAGTAGCACGGGCTATGGTGAGCCCGTAGTGGACTTACCTGGCACAGGAGCGGTGCTGTAACTTGCCAAAGAGAGAGTGACACTGACCTTGAAGGCGACGCGGAGAGTGTAGGTACAGAGGTCACCCAGGTCAGACACCTGTCCATCACTACTGAAGGTGACCTCCAACACCTGTGTGACCTCCAGCATGACCTTCCCGCGCCCGCCACACGACGCTTGCTCGCTCACTCTGTCGTCTGCGTCAGTGTAGACAATATTACACTCAGTGTTAATGTTTGACACTGTCAGTGTTATCATCATTCACTGCCTGACAGACTGATCCCATTCCAGCTACACTGTCAGTTACGTTGACCACAGATACACTGGCAACACCGACAACCACTACACTGACAACGACTATACTGACTACAACTACACTGTCAACGACTACACTGACAACCACTACACTGACAAGGACAACACTGACAACCACTACACTGACAAGAACAACGCTGACAACCACTACACTGACAAGGACAACACTGACAACCACTACACTGACAAGAACAACACTGACAACCACTACACTGACAAGGACAACACTGACAAGAACAACACTGACAACCACTACACTGACAAGGACAACACTGACAACCACTACACTGACAAGAACAACACTGACAACCACTACACTGACAACCACTACACTGACAACCACTACACTGACAAGAACAACACTGACATCTACTACACTGACAACCACTACACTGACAAGAACAACACTGACATCCACTACACTGACAACCACTACACTGACAAGAACAACACTGACAACCACTACACTGACAAGAACAACATTGACAACCACTACACTGACAAGAACAACACTGACAACCACTACACTGACAAGAACAACACTGACAACCACTACACTGACAACCATTACACTGACAAGAACAACACTGACAACCACTACACTGACAAGAACAACACTGACAACCACTACACTGACAACCACTACACTGACAAGAACAACACTGACAACCACTACACTGACAAGAACAACACTGACAACCACTACACTGACAAGAACAACACTGACATCCACTACACTGTCAAGAACAACACTGACATCTACTACACTGTCAAGAACAACACTGACATCTACTACACTGACAAGAACAACACTGACAACCACTACACTGACAACCACTACACTGTCAAGAACAACACTGACATCTACTACACTGTCAAGAACAACACTGACATCTACTACACTGTCAAGAACAACACTGACATCTACTACACTGACAACCACTACACTGACAAGAACAACACTGACAAGAACAACACTGACAACCACTACACTGACATCTACTACACTGACAAGAACAACACTGACATCCACTACACTGACAAGAACAACACTGACAACCACTACACTGACATCTACTACACTGACAAGAACAACACTGACAACCACTACACTGACAACAACAACACTGACAACCACTACACTGACAAGAACAACACTGACAACCACTACACTGTCAAGAACAACACTGACATCTACTACACTGACAAGAACAACACTGACAACCACTACACTGACAAGAACAACACTGACAACCACTACACTGACAAGGACAACAACGACAACCACTACACTGACAAGGACAACAACGACAACCACTACACTGACAAGAACAACACTGACAACCACTACACTGACAAGGACAACACTGACAACCACTACACTGACAAGAACAACACTGACAACCACTACACTGACAAGGACAACACTGACAAGAACAACACTGACAACCACTACACTGACAAGGACAACAATGACAAGAACAACACTGACAACCACTACACTGACATCTACTACACTGACAAGAACAACACTGACAACCACTACACTGACAAGAACAACACTGACAACCACTACACTGACAAGAACAACACTGACAACCACTACACTGACAAGAACAACACTGACAACCACTACACTGTCAAGAACAACACTGACATCTACTACACTGACAAGAACAACACTGACAACCACTACACTGACAAGAACAACACTGACAACCACTACACTGACAAGGACAACAACGACAACCACTACACTGACAAGGACAACAACGACAACCACTACACTGACAAGAACAACAACGACAACCACTACACTGACAAGAACAACACTGACAACCACTACACTGACAAGGACAACACTGACAACCACTACACTGACAAGAACAACACTGACAACCACTACACTGACAAGGACAACACTGTCAACCACTACACTGACCACAACTGCGTTTACGTCTCACTCCGGGTGGACACAGTCAGTATAAGAATAAGTACACTGTATAATGCCTGGTCGGGGAGTTACTTTCTGATTTGCTTATGTCGCCAAAGCATATTAAATGGTTATACCATTTTCCATTTTTATATACCATTATACCATTTTTATTTATTTATATTTATATACAGTTTTTGTTTATTTATATACCATATACAAAATCATCAGGACAAATGAAGGGGAGGACCTTTGACAAGCCGCCGGCTTCCTGTCCACGTCGAGGCCGCAAGTGTTAGTGGTCTTCAGGTAAAAAATTACTGTTACTCTCCCCTCAAACTTTGCTTTGACCTTTGTCTCAGACAGCTTAGGGAGAGACGTCCTGAAGGTACCGAGGGCTGGCGACTTACGGTGGACAGGAAGCCGGCGGCTTGTCAAAGGTCCTCCCTTCCATTTGCTCTGATGATTTTTTCAAGCTCGATTTTAAAATTCAGCAGAGCTTTGGCGGGTAGGCGGTTCCATGGGTTTATAACCCTGTGGGTGAAAAAGCATCTGTTTTCAGTCCGACAGTGTGGCTTGTTGAGCTTGGACCCGTTGTTCCTTGTTTGTGTTACATCTGACCTATTGAAGAAGTTGTCTGGGTCAACATCCTCCAAATTGTTCAGTATTTTAAAAGTTTGGATGAGATCAGCCTTGTCATGTCTGGTTTGTTGTGTTGTTGGTCCTGTGGCCCTCAACTTTCCTTGTTATGAGTCAGCTTAGATCAGAAATGATTTTGGAGATATAAGTAATCACAAAATACTTCTTACTAACAAATTCTAAACAAGACCAGAAACAGGTATATATAGTTTCATACCGTTCTGTCCATTTTGCCCAGCAGAAACGTAGAAACTACAACAGTTTTGATTAACAGAAGTTTAAAAATACAACAGTTTTGCCTAAGGAGAAACGCACGAGCCTAACCAACCCCCTTTATGAACAATTTTGGGAGTGAGAGAGTAAGAGCCCTGAATAACGCAGTATGTAAAACATGTGAATGTGAAACACAAGGGAGTATCATACTGGAAGTCACTCCAAAACAGAAAAAATATTTAACAATTTGAATTTCTTATTTATGGTACTTTTTAGGTAATTTTGAGGCATTCATTGAAATACTGTTGAAAACTTTGTGGCCGAGTTAATGTGTTTCTGGAGGTCAGGGAGGACGGTCACGCTCCTCCTGTGTCCCTCTCAAGGTAAAGTCTGGCCTTAAGTCTTGTTTTTATAACTGCTTGCCACATTTATATATGATACTTCAGTAACTCTACAATAATATATATAGTTATTTGATATATAATCAAAATATTTGAGAGTATTTAACAACCTTTAGAGTCCTCTGCATACATGATTATTTCGTAGGTAGTTCCTTCAGTGAGTAGTTAACTATTGAGTCGTGTTAACTGAGTAGTTAACTATTGAGTCGTGTTTACTGAGTAGTTAACTATTGAGTCGTGTTAACTGAGTAGTTAACTATTGAGTCGTGTTAACTGAGTAGTTAACTATTGAGTCGTGTTAACTGAGTAGTTAACTATTGAGTCGTGTTAACTGAGTAGTTAACTATTGAGTCGTGTTTACTGAGTAGTTAACTATTGAGTCGTGTTAACTGAGTAGTTAACTATTGAGTCGTGTTAACTGAGTAGTGAACTATTGAGTCGTGTTAACTGAGTAGTTAACTATTGAGTCGTGTTAACTGAGTAGTGAACTATTGAGTCGTGTTAACTCAGTTGTTAACTATTGAGTCGTGTTAACTGAGTAGTGAACTATTGAGTCGTGTTAACTCAGTTGTTAACTATTGAGTCGTGTTAACTGAGTAGTTAACTATTGAGTCGTGTTAACTGAGTAGTTAACTATTGAGTCGTGTTTACTGAGTAGTTAACTATTGAGTCGTGTTAACTGAGTAGTTAACTATTGAGTCGTGTTAACTGAGTAGTGAACTATTGAGTCGTGTTAACTGAGTAGTTAACTATTGAGTCGTGTTAACTGAGTAGTGAACTATTGAGTCGTGTTAACTCAGTTGTTAACTATTGAGTCGTGTTAACTGAGTAGTGAACTATTGAGTCGTGTTAACTGAGTAGTTAACTATTGAGTCGTGTTAACTGAGTAGTGAACTATTGAGTCGTGTTAACTCAGTTGTTAACTATTGAGTCGTGTTAACTGAGTAGTGAACTATTGAGTCGTGTTAACTGAGTAGTTAACTATTGAGTCGTGTTAACTGAGTAGTGAACTACTGAGTCGTGTTAACTCAGTTGTTAACTACTGAGTCGTGTTAACTCAGTTGTTAACTATTGAGTCGTGTTAACTGAGTAGTTAACTATTGAGTCGTGTTAACTGAGTAGTTAACTATTGAGTCGTGTTAACTGAGTAGTGAACTATTGAGTCGTGTTAACTCAGTTGTTAACTATTGAGTCGTGTTAACTGAGTAGTTAACTATTGAGTCGTGTTAACTGAGTAGTTAACTATTGAGTCGTGTTAACTGAGTAGTTAACTATTGAGTCGTGTTAACTGAGTTGTGAACTATTGAGTCGTGTTAACTCAGTTGTTAACTATTGAGTCGTGTTAACAGAGTAGTTAACTATTGAGTCGTGTTAACTGAGTAGTTAACTATTGAGTCGTGTTAACTGAGTAGTTAACTATTGAGTCGTGTTAACTGAGTAGTTAACTATTGAGTCGTGTTAACTGAGTAATTAACTATTGAGTCGTGTTAACTGAGTAGTGAACTATTGAGTCGTGTTAACTCAGTTGTTAACTATTGAGTCGTGTTAACTGAGTAGTGAACTATTGAGTCGTGTTAACTGAGTAGTGAACTATTGAGTCGTGTTAACTGAGTAGTTAACTATTGAGTCGTGTTAACTCAGTTGTTAACTATTGAGTCGTGTTAACTGAGTAGTGAACTATTGAGTCGTGTTAACT